ACAAATTTGATAAATATTATTTTAAAAAGAGAGTTGTCAATGTTCTATAACCGATAATGTTATTAAGATTCATTAAATCTCACCTGAGCATGATTAAACTTTCTCAATAGTTCGAGAAAAGCTGTCGTATAAAAAAAAATCCATGCACTTCATTCACCATGGCTGGTTGTCAAAAACTTCAATTATAAATAGATAGATACCAACTAAATGCTTTACATCTAAATCTAGTACCATTGACAAGTGTTTGAAGGGTTTATTTATAATAATTTTTGTGGAGAAAGAAAGAAAATAATTACTTATCAATGAACTTTCCAAGAACATGTAACAAAAATGGAAAGGATATTGAAATTTGGAAGAAAGTAATACGATACCCAAAAAATAGTGTGTAAGTTGAGATATGTCTTATCTTGTTGGGATGAGAACGCCAAAGAAAAGAACACCAATAATAAATTTCAGAACAGAACGGTACTGCAATGTCCACTGTCAATATGGTGGCTGGCTACGTGTCAATAGAGGGATGTGGAGCAAATTATGCATATCACTGGAAAACAAAATTGAATGAAACTTGCAGGCTTTGTTTCAGAAGCAAGTGCCTTTGATCATGCAATGCATTGAGAGAAAAAGAACGAGAAAGAGAGAGATGCTAGCTACTTGTCACTTGTCACTTAGGACTTTTTCATTTTTTGCAATCTCTCTCTCTCTCTCTCTCTCTCTCTCTCTCTCTCTCTCTTCTCTTCTCTTCTCCTCTCTCTCTCTCTCTCTTCTACTTCTCTGCTCTCTCTCTCTCTCTCTCTCTCTGTTTTGAATCCATTTAGAATAGTGTTCTTTATCTACACTTCTACATTTCCGATGATGTTCACATTCAGTTGAATTTTATCTCTCTCTCTCTCTCTCTCTCTCTCTCTCTCTCTCTCTCTGTTTGAATCATTTTAGTGTACTTTCTACACTTTTCAACTTTCATTGTTCACATTCATTGAATTTTATACATTGATTCACATATAAATATCATTTCGAACAAAAAGATTCCACCTTCATATGAATTATGAATTTAATAAAATTCATATACTGCAAGAATTTTATTTCTAAAATTATGAATTTAATAACATTCCACCTTCCTATTTCATATACTACAAGAATTTGGATGTTATTAAAAGACAAAAAATTGAACCAACACTCGATGAGTTATTCGGAACTTTCTCTCTTAACTGAATTGATGAGTTATTCAATATATTTCTCTCTTAATTGATATCGAGAATTCAATTCTCATGGATGAATTTAATATTACTGGAAGCACTTCAACTCTTAATGGGCTGACTCGATACGAACAAGATTTAATCCTAAATCAATGGCTAGGAATATCCGAGATTAATACAGGAGCAGAAAAGTTTCCCTTACATGCAAAGAAGATAATAATCTTGCATTGGGGTTGGAAGTTGGTATTACTATTGTTATTGTTACGAAGAGGCCACTTCAAAAATCGACGTAGAGGAAACATAAATAATTGCATGTTTCAATTTTTAAGCATATTCCATAAATAAATTTATTATAATTATTAATATTTTTTTTTTGAAACACTCATAAAAAACTTAATTTTTATTAAATTTTTACCTGCTACTGAATAGTTTGTATACGCATGAATTTGGTCCACTGAATACTTTAAAAAAAGTTGTAAGGATATGAAGTTGTGGTTCTCAGTGCTTGTTTAGAACCAATTCTAATATATACGATCAATTCTGATTCTACATTATAGAAATTGTTTCTAATACAGTTAAAGATTCCAACTAATATGTTTGGTTATAAGTGATAAAAGCAAAGCTATGAATTGTTAATTTTTGTACTTTTTGGAATCAATAGAAGAAAAATAAATTTAATAAAATTGTTTTACGATAATTCCCTTTGTGGTGTATATAATATGTGAAAGTGCGACATTTAGAAAAATAATTTTCTGGGGTTAATATCTAATAAAATATTATAAAAAGGTTTAATTTTAATTACAATAATAAATAAAAATACTGTTAATATCCTCAAAAGCACTTATGAAAGCAATTGGAATCGGTCTTTTTGAGGTTATTTTGAATAAGTGATCAACTTATTATAAGTCAATTAAATTTATTATATTAATAAAAATATACCGATAAATCATACACCTCACACAAATCAATTCAATTGATTATACAAATAGATTCAAATACTCCAAAACTTTTTTAATTTCGTCATAATTTCAAAAAAAAAATCTTTTTTTTAATTTCGTCTCCATAGCTGTAATGCTATACATAACAAGCTGAGTGTGATATAGGCACACATTTATTAATAAGAAAAAAAAAGAATAAAAAAAAGAAATCATACGTACGTGCATATTAAGAAAAAAAGATATTAAAAAAAGAAAATCATACGTACGTGCAATCATATATAGATATAGATATCAGACGTTTATATATATACTATATATAAGATAATATATAAAGTATTAATATTTATATTATATACAGAGAGAGAGAGAAGCGACAATAGCAAGCAAACACACAAAAACACGAGTCAAATGCGCATGCAAGCATGCAGAAGGTATAGAATTAGATAAATGTAAGTAAAATGCTCAAAACCCTATTAAGAATAGTAATTATGAGTTTGTAATCTCTATATATATACTTATATAGGGAGTGGGTAGGATATAGATGGACCCATTAATATAAAAATATAGGGCAAGCAAGAGTAGCCATAAAGGCCAATTTTGGGGATTAGGGAACCCTAAAGTGGGATATAGTACCCATTAAATTAATAGCATGGGTTCAGTTCCTGTAATCCTGGCAATTACCCTAAAAAAAGAATTAGAAATCAGAAAGTGGGTTAATGAGAAAATTAATTAAAAATTAAAACTTTAATTTGGTTTTTTTTTTTTTTTTTTTTTTAACTTTTAATTGGTTTTTTTTTTTTTTTTTTTGGATTTTTTTTTTTTTTTTTTTTTTGGAGAGTGAGATGTGATAGGTAGGGAAGAGGCAAATGAAATATATAAAAGGAAGGGTGGGTTTATGGGAATGGGGAGAGAAATAAAAAAGAAATGTTTCCTAAGAATAGAACAAGAGTGTGAAGTAGGGTTGGGTGGATGAGGTTACAAGGTGAAATGCCAATGCCATTATCCCACTTGTGTTCTTATTTCAATCATCAATGCACAATGCTCTATATACCATTTTCTGATACTTCTGAATTTTACCCATACTTCCTTTCAGATAGGTATATGTGTTTTCTTTTCTTCATCTTTTATTGTGTGTAATTTATATATATATATTTATTTATTTATGCCTTAAAAAAATGTACCCATATCATACTGTCCATAGACAACATTATTTCTAGCTTAGAAAAAAGGATGTGTGTCTGTGTGTCTGTGTGTTTTTTTCTTTTTTCTTTTTTTTTTTTTTTTTTTTTTTTTTTTTTTTTTTGTTTTTTTTGTATACAAGAGAAAAAAAAAACCATCAAAAATGCAATATAGACAAAACAATTTCCGGATGCGGTAAACTCTGCAAATATCATGAAAAGAGCAATGTAGTGTGATACCAACGAGTGTTTCTAGAACGAGTAATTTGGCACTTTATCTCCTTAGTTAAACCAATCCGATATAAGCAGATTATCTCAATTTTTTTTTTTTTTTTTTTTTTTTGAGTACAAGAGAAAAAAAAAACACAAAAGATTAGACAAAAACAATTTAGGATGGGTAACTCTGCAAATATCATGAAAGAGCAAGTTATTAATACCAACGAGTGTTAGAACGAGTAATTTGAGCACTTTATCTCTTAGTAAACCAATCCGATGTAAGCAGATATCTCAAATACTCGTGAATGATGTGTTTGTTGATATTTTGACTAGAGAAGCTATTTTATTCTTGTAACCGATTCTATTTCTTAATAAAGCTTCTATATTTTCTTAGAAAATAATTGTTTTTACATGATTGTAAGTCAAAAATTTAATTAATTAAAAATTCAATATTAATAGAGATTTGACCTTATTTACGAGTCAACAAAATAACTAATTGCTTTGTTTTGGCCTTGCTAGAGACAATGATCTAATTCTCATCGTATGTTTTAATCTTAATTAATTAATTAAGGAATAGAATACCAATTTATCATATAATTTTCATTTAGTTACGCATTATCTTTTTCAAATATTCAACTATGAAACACAAAAGAAAAAGGAATAGTTACCTCCAGGTTGTAACTCAGTTGATAATTTTCACTAAAGCTACCTATAAGAAGGGGCAAAGAGCTTTAACTATAAATAAGCCCTAAATCAGATTAACCGGTTCCTGATAATAGATAATATCATTAGTTAAAATTTTAATTAACTTGAGTTAAAAGGAAGGAAATGACACAACAAATAATTAAATGGACTTTGGCATCAACTAGTTAGAGTGTAATAAATTGAAATTGGACATCCAAACTAAAAATCGAGCTAAGGTAGCATAAAAAATAAATAGGTTAAAATGGTAGAATCGTACTCTTGAGTTTACTACAAGATTCAATCATTATCAAAATAACTACAATTTTCCATTTGTTATTTTATTCTCATCATTGTATGTATTTTATATTTTTAACTTTCAACCAATATGAAATATTTTAATACGTACTATAAAAGAAAATAATTTTATTCGTAAAAACTCCTAATTTATATGTTTCAATTAATGTTTACAGGGTTTAATGAATCAATAATAAAATTAATTCGCGATCAACCCATTAAGTTCCTATTCTAGTTAATGGTGCAATTGGAAATTAATAATTAAATTAAAAGAAAAATACTTGTTTTTTTTTTTTTTTTTTGTTAAATAACCATAATATAAGACAAATAAGCAATTTACTTCATCTATAAACTATAGTATTCTATATTTGATTTAATAAAACCCATAAGATTAGTGGTCCACGCGTGCCAATATTAGCTGTATGTGTGGAGCAAGCGTGCTATGGAGGGTACTCACGTGCGTTGAGGTTTATATATACGCATGGAAGGAAACACACTAATTAAAATTGAGTAGTGGTCAAGCAAGAAAAGAAAGGGAGTGTCAAGTTGATACCTGTGTGTTTCTTGGACACAAGTAATATAGGTCACTAGCTCGAGTAGAGACAGAGCACAAGTGAAGAGAGATTGATATTATTCTTGTATTTTGATTTTTTGTTGCCCTTTTAGCAATATTGGCAGGCAAGTAAATACTTTTGGTGAAAATAGTTATACACAGAAGAAAATTTAGTGAAATGGAGGTTATTGAGGGCACTGAAATGAGACCAACATCAAAGTTCAAGAGGATTTGTGTGTTTTGTGGAAGTAGTCAAGGGAAGAAGAGTAGCTATCAAGATGCTGCTATTGAACTTGGCAAAGAATTGGTATTATTACTATTTTAATTGTTCTCTATTTTGTTCACTATTATCTTTTTCTTTCTCTGTTTCTCTTGGTCTCTGCCCATTTTTAATTTTCCACCATGGGTTTTGGCTCATTTGTAAAACATGTTATTTCTAGTGCAAGTATGAGATGGGATTAATTTGCTACAAATCTGTATGCAGCTTGCTTCAAGTTCAATACTTTTTTTTAGCCATAATCTTGAATGGATTCTTCATATTGTTCTTCTTTCTTGGTTTCTTTTTCTTTTTGTGCAATTTCTGCAGTTCTTTATATTTATATTTGTTAATGTGAAAAGTTGAGACCTTTTTGTGAATTGACAGGTTTTACTTAGTTTTGCCAAATGGGCAATTTCAAAAATGCTGGAATGTACTATAAAGAACACATTTTTATACATAATTTGAAATACCCATATCAGAAATTTCCATTTTTTTGCTGATAAAAAGCCTCATTTTTGAATTTCTACTGACAAGCATGACTGGGGTGTGTTGCAGGTGTCAAGGAACATTGATCTGGTCTATGGAGGGGGTAGCATAGGTTTGATGGGTTTGGTTTCTCAAGCTGTTCATGATGGTGGTCGCCATGTTATTGGGTAAGCCGCCTTTGTGACCAAGTTTTCGATTCTCCATTATCATTTTTTTATTGAATTAAGAATCATCCAAATGAATTAAAGAAATAAAATTAGTAAGTTGTGTTTATTTATGTTCAATAGTATTGCTTTTCTTCTTCATTACAACTTATTTTTTTGTCATGTTATTGTCTCCTTGCAGAGTTATTCCCAAGACGCTCATGCCTCGAGAGGTATGTCTGCAAGAACCAGAAAAAGGCTTCTATCTTTTTATATATATTAGTTCTTTTTTTCCTTTTCTTTTTTGAATAAAAAGGCTACATCTTCTATTATTCTTTTGTAACAGTGGATTGGATATAGATTTTTGGCTGTCAATTTTCTACCTTACTTTCTTCCTTTTATTTCTTTCAAATATTTTGATTAATTCTTTGCTTTTGGCTACTGTTTTTTCCTCCTGTTCTTTAATTATTTTCAATTGTCATTTTTCTTTTGTTTTTCCCCCCTTTTCTCTCTTTCTTTTGTTCTGTCATCTTCTGTTTTTTTCTTAAGATTTCCATTTGTTTTTAGGATAAATATAATTCAAAATAAAAAAAGAAGAGTGTTTCTCAAGATTTCTACACCTGTGACAAATACTTGATAGGCTTATCCATAGCACTAGTTGAGTAGTTGGCACTTGGCACTACACCTTTTCTATACATATTTTGGCTTCCACATTCTGCTGTCTTCTCTGTTTAGTTCTATGGCAGTATTTTGTTCTTGTGTTTTTCTTTATTGGCTTCTTTCAGATTTCGAATTTCTTTTGTTTTTTCCTTTTTCTTTATTTTTCTGTTAAGAGATAAAATAAATTACTGGATAGGATGTTGTGGAGTTCAAATCTTTGGATTAAGTCCACCACTATTCCTGCAACACTCATCATTACTTCACTGCACAACCCTCCAAATTTTTCTCTCTATTCAATCCTTCAATTTTTAATTTTCTGTGCCTGTGGTACCCTCTTTTGCAGTTAACTGGTGAAACAGTGGGGGAAGTGAAGGCAGTAGCAGACATGCATCAACGAAAGGCAGAGATGGCTAAGCATTCAGATGCTTTTATTGCTTTACCAGGTTAGTATAACCCCTGCAAAAAATTCTCACTTACACCAAAATTCTAATGCAAATAAAGGAATCATATAGATCATCAGATGCTTTTATCTTTCCAAGTTCAGCATACAAGATTGGCCATATCTCATTTTTTGATTTTTCTGTAGATTGTTGATTACTTTTCTTTGGTTTATATCTATCACTTACTGATCACTGTTCAAGAAACTAATCCACCATAAAATACCCATTAAATGAAAGTAATGATATGAAGAGAAGATTTTGACTGTCTGTTTCTACTTTTCAATTTGTGTGCTTTTGTAATTAATCTAAATATTCCTCTAATTTCTTTGTTCAGTTATTTCTTAAGCTGCTAACAAATGCATCATACACATAATAAAAGGGAAAACAGAAGTATTAACTGGTAAGAAGCTAGTTGACTTCAGGTCAAGCTTAGCAAGAAGCTGTGATATAAGATGAGATTTTCACAGTATTATGGCCATATTTAGCTAATATAGCTTTTGTCTTTTGAGGACACATGGTATCTGATAATGTGTGAAAGGAACCTGTGAAGTCCAAATTAAGACAAACTTTTTAGCCGAACAAGTTACTGTGGAACAGTTCAGACCCTAGTTCTTGACCCATCAACATCTTACACTGAAAATTACAGCTGCTAAAAGACTGTGGTTCTGTGGTTAATATGTGCTCTTTTTCTTCTATATGTAGTTCTTTTCTTTTAATGTTATTGAAGTTATTTATCTCTCTTGCATATTAAGGGCAAGAGACACAAAGACACACTTTAAGCAAAATAGTTTTTTGCCAACTAGTACCTGCACCTAACAGGTAATGATGCCCACCCCTTTCACAAACCACTAATCATCATGGAGTTTAAAATCTTGGGGAACCAGAGGACATACATGGGCAAAAAGTCAATTCACTCTTAATCTTGTCATGGAATCCCAAAAACCACAGTTTAACAAAAAAAAAAAAAAAAAAAAAAAAAAAACACTTTATAGCAAAAATAGTTTTTTGACCAAACTTTAGTACCTGCCACTTCTTAAAACAGGTAATGATGCCCACCCCTTTCACAAACACTACATCATCATGGAGTTTTTAAAATCTTGGGCGAACCAGAGGAACATACATGGGCAAAAAGTCCAATTCACTCTTTTAATTATTCATGGAATCCCAAAATAAACCACAGTTTAACAAAAAAAAAAAAAAAAAAAAAAAAAAAAAGACATCCTTTTGCTACATGATAAGATTGAGGGCTTATTATGGGACCTGAAAACTGGTTGGCCAGAGATTATGCCTCTATTTTCCACAATGGTTGCCATAAAAAAAAAAAAAAAAAAAAAAAAAAAAAAGACATCCTTTCTGCTACATGATAAGATGAGGGCTATTATGACCTGAACTGGTTGGCAGAAGATTATGCCTCTATTTTCACAATGGTTGCCATGAAGACCATTTTTAGGTCAAAGGGAATTGATGTTTGACCAACCATATCCAACCCCCTTCTTTTTCTCTATAAAATAATGATATAAATATTGGAAAAAGTTAAAGTGAACTTAAAAGTAAAGAACTGAGGGTGCAAAGCTGTAATAAAACCATTGCCATCAAACAAGAATATGTGGAACTGGTCTGAGATGATCCTTAAACTTGTTCATTACAAGGGAAAAAAGTAACACTTATTATACCTAAATTGCTTGCTGATTTTTGGTCCTAATTAAGCGATTTACCAATCTTATATGCCCTGAGTACTGCTGGTAGTACATTTTCTGCTACAAAACCTGTTTCCATTAGAAGGCTTAGTGATGGATATCATTCTATGTTTTTTTACATCATTAAGTTTGGATTACTTTAATGTGAAAAACTTCTATGTGGATAATATAGGTGGTTATGGGACTCTTGAAGAGTTACTTGAAGTGATAACCTGGGCCCAACTTGGTATTCATGACAAACCGGTAATTCTCATGTTTTGATTTCTAATACCTTCTTGTTCGATGCTTGTTTAGCGTCTGCAGGAAGCATGTTAACTGACTTTTTTTTTTTTTTTTTTAAAGAGCTAATGCTGTATTTGTATTTCCACTTTTTGAAGGTGGGATTGTTGAATGTTGATGGATACTACAATTCTTTGCTCTCTTTTATTGACAAAGCTGTGGAAGAGGGATTTATAAGCCCCAGTGCTCGCAACATCTTTGCATCTGCTCCAACAGCTAAGGAGTTGGTGAAGAAATTGGAGGTAATAAACTGCAGCCTCATCTAAATATAAGACTGTCCACTCATCTAAGTTGCTTATGATAAAATTTTGAAAAGAATTAACCAAGATTCAAAAGAGAACAGAAATGATTTGATTGCAAACAAAAGACCAAAGTGAAATTTCAGTTCATTAAGAAGATGTATCCCTTTTTACATCCAATTGTCTGAAGATTTATTTTGTTTATCATAGGAATACGTCCCCTGTCATGAGAGGGTAGCTTCAAAATTGAGCTGGGAAATTGATCAACTTGACTACTCTCAGAATTATGATATCTCAAGGTGACAATGGAGATGACTGCATTAAAGTATTAGACGGAATTTGGAAGTGGAAGGAGCTAATTTTGGATGATCAATCTTGAACTTTCCATTTTTTTTTTTCTTTTCTGTAAATTATTGCAATTAACCTCGATATGTTAAGGTTCTCAACATTCTCATTTCAGTAAAAATATCTGGATTTTCTGTTAACTTGTAAGTACTAGAGGCTTATGAACATTCCCATTTTACATGTTGACTAATTTATATGTTAACCATCTTTCACTTCCCTTCCCATTTCCTTAATGCTTATTTTTCTTTTCTTGTATCTGTTGTAAGCAGACAAGACATGACAATCTCTAGTTTTGAACAAAAGTACTAGAAGCATTAAATAAGAGTGCACATAAGAATTTTCATAATTGAATGCAGTGGAGGAATGCAATTCACCCAATCTTTGATATAAGTAATTAATTAGTGGGTTAATTTACTTTCTTATCCTTCTTTTAAATCAATGAAATACCTAAAAACAGCACAAATTAATAATTCAGCAAAACCCCATCGAGAATCCAATAAGAAGGACATAACTGTCATTATTTAATGTTAAGAGAAGAGAGAAGGGGGACCAATATTGCTTGCTGTTAAGGTTTTGTGGACCAAAAACAATAGACAGCCCTAACTCAACCAACGACAAATAACGGAAGGTGGCGGGCCCAGGTGAGGGACGGTGGAAGAGGGGCCTCAACCTCAAGGCTCTTGCATTGCAATTGGTAGAAGAGGAGGAATCATGGGACCCACTGCCGTCCATCCAATGAGAAAATGAGACGTGTCGACAGCCCAACAAAAAACAGAGGGAGCTGCAATTAGTTGAGTTTGGAATGGTCGGAGAGAGTCCTGTTTTAGGGTTTGGATTGAAACATATAACAATAAAAGGAATGCGTAATTCTTCTTGAAATGACATTGGAAATTAATAATCTTATCAAAGCCTTTCAATATCTTCTTTTGATCTGTCAAAAGCATTAATTGTTGCTTTAAAGATACCATAACCAAAGCCAACGGAGGAAATTTAGGAACCAAACCATTGTATAATGCAAATCAAATTTACACTACTAAAGATTTTTCACTCTCACATAAATGAGAAAATCAATCAACACCTGATTGCCCTTTCATCGCAATAGCTTTTCAGGTAAAAATATAGCATAGACATTTACAAATTGAAAAACTTTACAAAACAATCTATTTTGTTAAGCCAGGAAATATTAATTTTGTTGTGCAAAGTTGGTCAACTTAAGGTTATTGGGTATAAAGAAGTCAATATGTTTTCTATAAATATGAAATGAAAATTGTAATAAGACAGCATGAAAAGATTGTAAGAAAAAGTTTGAAGAGAAGATATGTGATAGCAAAAATCGAGGATGATATATGATATTGATGCCTATAAAAGAGAGAGATCTATAGCATAGCAATAGCATGTGAAAATGTCACAAACAAATAAAAACACACAAGCCAACCCCATTTATACGTAAGGTTTTCAAGTCTTCAATTAGACTTTATCTCTTTCAAAGCCTATGTATGATGTGAGCCACAGGACATCCATGCATGTGCTCCTCCTCACCGAAATATATGCTATATGTCTTTCCCTCGAGTGACAAAAAGGGCAAAAAAAAAAAAAAAAGGTCAGCCAGGAAATATTACATTTTGTTGTGCAAAGTTGCGGTCAAACTTAAGGTTATTGGGTATAAAGAAGTCAATATGTTTTCTATAAATATGCAATAATGGAAAATTGTAATAGACACATGAAAAAAAAAGAAGAGAAAATACTAGGATTGTAAGAAAAACGTTTTGAAGAGAAGATATGTGATAAGTCAAAAATCGGAGGATGATATATGATATTGATGTCCTATTGAAAAGAGACAGAGATCTATAGCATAGCAATAGCATGTTGAAAATGTCACAAACAAATAAAAACACACAATGGCCAACCCCATTTATTACGTAAGGTTTTCAAGTCTTCAATTAGACTTATCTCTTTCAAAGGCCTATGTATGATGTGAGCCACAGGGACATCCATGCATGTGCTCCTCCTCACGAAATATATGCTATATGTCTTTCCTCGAGTGACAAAAAGGGCAAAAAAAAAAAAAAAAAAAAAAAAAGGTCAGTTGTTGTATAGTCACGCGCAATTTACCCAAAATTGAACTTTGGAATTAAGTTTAACCACACTTTCAACTTTATTGAAATAAATGCTTTGACAGGCTAAAAAATAGGTCAAATCGGTTTTTTTTTTTTTTTTTTATTGTTAAATTGATTCAAGAACTCAATCTTGAGTAAATTGCAAATGGTGAATAAAACTAAAAGAATATTTTTTTTTTTTTTTAAAGGGAAAACCAACTTCATTAAACCTATGGTAAAACTCAATAATACAATCACGAATAATATCCTAATTACGGAGGCGAGTGTAACAAATGGATGCTTTTGCAAGAAAATGAGTATTCATATTTACTTGTTTCTGAACCGACTTAATTTTAATATCGAACTTATTACTGAAATTTACTACAATCGAATAACTATAAAACCGAATACTGGAAAATCTAAATCCTAAGGTTGAAAGCAATAATCATAATAAACAAGGATCGTAAAAGAAGAAGAAGAAGAAATGAAATTGTTGAAGGCCTTTATTATTATGAACTTTGACAAATGAAATAGAAAACATTTACACTAACAAATTTAATCTAGTATTAACAAAATTCTGAATTAGGGGAATAAGCTTAAGTTAATGGGCCAGGAGCCAGACTGGCTTGGGTATGCTGTGTGAGCCCATTCCTTTTTGGTGCTTATATATGTTGTCTTCCACTCTTCAACTAGGGCACAAATGACAAAGGCTCCTACATAGGACATAATAAAAGGCCAAGGCTCCAATTTAAGGCCCCACAAGAGACAAGAATAGCTCTTTGCCTCATAGTGATAATTGATAGTGCCCTAAACAAATTTAGGGTTGGTCCATATATATCAATAATAATGAAAAAAAATATGTGATCCACCAATAACTTGCTTTCTTTATTAATAGAAAAGCTCATCCTCTTATCTATTATGTCATCTTCAATACCAAACATACTGTGTTTTCAGCTTGTTGTATTTTTATCTAAACATTACATAAATCGTCTTTATTTTTTTAGTAAGTAATCTGATCAGTGATCCAACCCGCCCGTTCATTTGTGGGTCGGGTATTTTTTTTGGGCTGGTATGGGTCAGGCAGGCCCAAGACTCATAGACTGGCCTTTAAATGTAAAAGAGTGTTTGAGATAAAATGAGCCACCCAAATGCCCAACCCTTTGGACTAATTTCTATTTGTTCCACAATTCCCACAAAGACATTTCCAAAACTTTAAAAATTGTCTCTTTCTTGTAACTAAAATTTGAACACCAGATGGGAAAACTAGCAAAGAAGCAAGATGTCACTGCAAAGCAAATTCTTTGTGATTTCAATATTCATTAAAGTTGGTTAATTTATTATATATAGATTCCAAATTAATATCACCTTTCAAGGTACTTTATTTTATTATAATATTAACTCAGTTGTTGTAGACTATTTATATAGTTTTAACAGACATTAAATAGATATCTCAACTTCTTGTAACAGTTGCTTTAAAGCTTTGTACAAGTCTTGCATTTGCTTCACCTAATGGAAGCGTTTACTGCCACCCTGCAATAACAACTCATCATCAACCTACCTTTGACTCCATTTTATTTTACCAGTATAAGTACCAATTTGTTTCTCATCCATGGCATCCAAGAATCCACACAGCTCAAGCCTAAATAGTTTTTTACTGGAAAAAAAATGGCAAAGCATTATGGTTTTGGTTCACTTTTGCTCTTCCTTTGCTTTCTTGGATTTGTTTCTTTTCCAGCTGAAGCTGCAGTGAAGAAGTATCAGTTTGATGTGGGTATTTTTGTCGTTAATTGATGATGGTTCATTTTTTCTTTTTCTTTTTCTGTTTTCAAATGAAAGTAATAATAGTGAGTATTCTTGCTTTGGGTGCAGATTCAAGTGAAGAATGTGAGCAGGTTGTGCAATGCAAAACCTATTGTAACAGTTAATGGAATGTACCCAGGACCTACCATTTATGCTAGAGAAGGAGATAGAGTTCTTGTTAATGTTACCAATTATGCACAATACAACATGTCCATTCACTGGTAAAACATACATAAATGCACATTAAAATAAAATGGATTGGAGCAAATTAATGTTTAATGATGATTCTTGCATGTGCAGGCATGGATTGAAACAATATCGCAATGGTTGGGCAGATGGACCGGCATATATAACTCAATGTCCAATCAAAACTGGACAAAGTTACACTTATGAGTTTAATGTTACAGGCCAAAGAGGAACTTTGTGGTGGCATGCACATATTTTGTGGCTAAGAGCTACAGTCTATGGTGCCATTGTTATTATGCCTAAACAAGGAACTCCTTTTCCATTTTCTCAGCCCCATCAAGAAACTAACATCATTTTAGGTTTGTATAGAAAGTTGGAAACTTTTTCTTTTTTATATAGAGATTATAATTTGAGAATTTCATGCATGCAGGAGAATGGTGGAACTCAGATGTTGAAACCATTGTTAACCAAGCTAATAAACTGGGCTTGCCACCACCAACCTCAGATGCTCATACTATCAATGGGAAACCTGGCCCGCTTTTCCCTTGTTCTGACAAACGTAAAACCCTATCTTATTTTCTTCTTCAAAGAAAAGTGCTTTAGATACATATATATATATATTGATTGGTGAAAATATTTTCTTTTTCCTATTCTAGATACTTTTGCTATGGAGGTTGAGTCAGGAAAAACATACCTTCTAAGGATTGTGAATGCTGCACTTAATGACGAGCTCTTCTTATCCATTGCTGGTCATAACATGACTGTGGTCGAAATTGATGCAGTCTACACCAAGCCATTCACAACTCAAGCTATCCTAATAGCACCAGGGCAAACCACAAATGTTCTAGTTAAAGCAGACCAAGCACTAAACCGCTATTTCATGGCAGCTAGGCCTTTTATGGATGCACCAATTCCAGTTGACAACAAAACTGTCACAGCCATCCTGCAATACAAAGGCATACCAAATACAGTTCTTCCAATTTTCCCTGCATCATTGCCTGTCTCCAATAATACAAAATTTGCTTTAGATTATAACAGCAAACTTAGAAGTTTGAACACTCCCCAGTTTCCTGCATTGGTCCCTCTTACAGTTGATCGCCATCTCTTTTATACAATTGGTTTAGGGCAAAATCCATGCCCAACTTGCCAAAATGGAACACAACTAACAGCTTCTTTGAACAATATTACCTTCGTAATGCCAAAGATTGGATTGTTACAGGCTCATTACTTCAATATCTCATCAGGAGTTTTCAAGACTAACTTTCCTGACCGCCCTCCTACTCCATTCAACTATACTGGTGCACCTCTGACAGCTAATCTTGCCACTTCTTCAGGAACAAGACTTAGTAAGTTAGCTTTCAATTCCACCATTGAACTAGTATTGCAGGATACCAATCTACTTTCAGTTGAGTCGCATCCATTTCATTTGCATGGCTTCAATTTCTTTGTTGTTGGAAATGGGATTGGTAACTTTGATCCTGCAAAAGACCCTGCTAAGTTCAATCTTGTTGATCCTCCTGAAAGAAACACAGTTGGTGTTCCAACTGGTGGGTGGACTGCTATAAGGTTCAGAGCCGATAACCCAGGTATATTTTAGATGTCATTGTTTTAATATTTGAAGATTAAAAAGAAAAATTCTTTCTCATAGTAATCATGGTTCTGCATATAGGTGTTTGGTTCATGCACTGTCACTTGGAACTCCATACAATGTGGGGATTGAAGATGGCTTTTGTTGTTGAGAATGGAAAGTTGCCGGATCAGTCTATTCTGCCACCACCAAAAGACCTCCCACCGTGCTAGATGTTGCTAAACAGCAATTTATTTTCTTGACAAGGCTTCATTGTTTTTATGCATCTAATTTTTATTTTTGTCATGGAATATATTTCTTCACAACCAGCTCATTCTTTGAGAAAGCAATTCTTCCTCAATTTTAAGTAACTGAGATTGTTTTGGGGACTACGGGAGACCTCTTATTATATATGTAATAAAAGTTCAATGAAGAAACCTATAATTTCCCTCTATTTCTTTTTCTTCGACGACACATCTTTGATATTCAAACATATAGGCAGAAATAAGGCAAACAAAACAAAAAGAGAAAATCCCAAAGCGCATCCAATTCTCATTTACTAAGTTGCTATAAAAAAATTAGTCTGTTTTATTAATTTCTCTGATAAGTACCAAGTACAAAAGAATCAAATTAAATCTTGAAACTATATGCTCGGCTAGTTAATGAACTAACATTAAAAGAGTTGAACTACCAAACCAAACTCCTAAACAATACAAGAATATGATCATTCAAGTCTATATATGTGGTATTCAAATATAAACAGTTATAATTTTCCAGTTAGTTTGGATTTGAAAATTCTATTGAGGCATATCACCATCTTCATGATTCTGTTGGCCATTGGTAGATGATTCTGGTTCCTTCAAATCACATGATTTTTTGGAATTGCAGGGCTGTCTAAAACTGAATTTCTTGGAAAATATTTTCCATTTTCTTTTAGTTTTCTCAAGCTTCTGAAATTCTTGATTCATGTTTGAACATTCTTTTTCAAGCTCAGAGTCAGAAATCTGCTCCTTCATATCAACACTCATAGTATGATCTTGTGGACAGTCCTCTGGACAAGAAACATCCTTTCTAGGAGATGCAAGGTTTCCATTGTGATTTTGTGAATTTGTTAGATTCTCTGACACAAAGAACCAAGCAGAAATTGATGTACGAAGGCGAAGTTGTTCAAAGAAAAGAACTTGGACAATTACTCTAAGAGGTAGCCTCTCATTCTGTGCAGCATGAGTGCTAGCTTCTAGTGAGAGCTTTTGGCAGTTCATTAGTCTACAAAGTTGCTCCCTTTCTAAATCTGTAAGCCAAGGATGTGCCTGGAGTTGTAAAAAGCAAAATTGCTGATATAAAATAATTTTTGCCACCACCTAACATTAGTAGCCTGAGCAACAATAAACTGGCCCTTTAGATATAATTAATAGACAAGTATCCAAGAAGAAAATACCTTTAGATATACATCAATAGCACGATAAAGGCCATCATCAAGTGGCCTGGCATAATCAGGGATAGTAGCAGCAAGCAGTTGAAACTTCGAAAGCTTCAAATTAACATCCGGTGCTACCTCAGCAAGAAATCCATCTACTAGACTTGCCACCATAGTTACTGGAGTTATCGTGTCAGTCCCGACTAGAAACTGGCCCTCTTCAACTATGCAAGGGGAATTTGATAAAGTTGTTTCTTGATGCAATGACATGAAATGATCAAGAATCCTTTGAACACAATCAATATCATAAAGGGTCTCTACCGAGTAACCCACATTTGGTATAAGAAGATCAACAAGTACAGCTTCATCCAACTGAGCTCCTATCCTTTTCTCCAAATTTTCCCTGCATGATGTACTAGCATGTAAGACCACAGCATTGCCAAGTAGCCTGAGCAAAACCTTAGGGGAAGTGGCTCCTTTCTTATCAGGGAGTAAAGTTACAATTTCCTCAAGAAGAGCCTTTTGGTCAGCCTCAGAAGGGAAGGAAACTCGATTCATGTCATTGATGCTTGATTGCTTATTATTCATCAAAGGGAGATACTTGTTAGCATAATGTATAAGAGATGCAGCAATAATTTCAGGCTTCATTCCCTTCGATTCAATAGCTAAAATCAATCGTTTAAATAAAGGTAAATTAAGCAATGAGATATCTTCAAACCACCAATCATTGCATAAAGTTTCTGGCTTAGTTGCAACAGATATTCCATTCCATACCATTACTCCATTCGTCTCATTCTGTCCTAACAAAGTCGCATTAAGTAGTTTGGGGTCCGCACAAGCCTTCATTGCCAAAGAATCGATGCACCTTGAGACGATGTGAATTTCTTCTGCATAAGGTACAACTTCTTCACAAGTTTCAAGAGCTTTTAAAGAGTCTTTCCAACTGCCAAATACTTCATTAAGAAAAGCCTCCGTTTGCGGTATGAGATTTCCTTCTCCATAATCTTCAGTCATTTCAAGGTACTCTGCTGCACATCTAAGGTAAACGACATTTAGAGCAGTAAGCTCTAATTTCACACCATAGCAGAATTTACTAATGAGCTCAAATGCTTTAGCACCACCTGGTATGTCATCCAGTTTCAAGACACAAGTTGAACCATTCTCTCCGGAATTTTCTTCAATAAGCTTGGCCAATAACCCACTTCTCGAAAGCAATGGGAACTGCATCCATCAAGGTTAGAGGATTTCATTTTCAATTATTTGGGTAAACTGGTGTTATTAGGGAGAGAAAAGAAAAATTCAACAGAAAACCTCACATTTCAACAGACAAATAAATGCACCTTGTGGAGATTGAAGGACATTTCTCCAATCTCAATGTTAATATCACTTTGAAGCCCAGTTGTGCAAAACCTGCAGAAAAATAATGATTAAAGTCCATGAAACAGTACCTTCAAAATATGCCCAAGTCAAGGAATTAAGACAGAAGTGTTGTAAGGACACTACTCGGAATTCTATAAGTTCATTCACAAATGTTCAGCAACCATATTTAAACCTCATTGTTAGACGCTCAGGCTTCATTTGATAAGCCATAAACTAAATAAAAATTAATTTATGCTTCGATTGAACAAGATAATTCACAAGTGGTCTCCATTGAAAGGATCTGTTACATTAAGTGAACAAGATATATAATGCAATTCTCTCTATAAACAAAATTCCTTCTACATATTTTTTCAACTTTCTTAAAAACTTTCTTCAATTCGCAATTTTTTCTTCAATTATGTTAGCAGCAGAAGGCAATAAAGCACAGAGCTTTTAAGGTATTATTGGACTAACTAATCATAATAACAACATTATTTACCCTAAACAAGATTACACAAGCCAAGCAAGAATATAAAAATGGCTAGTATTCTAGGGTTAATATATATATATATATATAATTCTGGAAAACCCAAAAAAAAAAAAAAAAAAAAAAAAAAGCCCGGTTGTCGCATAAGCCTGCAGCAAATGATATATGATCTAAAGTCCATGAAACAGTACCTTCAAAATATGCCCAGCAAGGAATAAGACAGAAGTGTATGTAAGGACACTACTCGGAAATTCTATAAGTTCATTCACCAAATGTTCAGCAAACCATATTTAAAACCTCATTGTTAGACGCTCTGAGGCTTCATGTCTTGGAAAAGCCATAAACGTTAAATAAAAATTAATTTATGCTTCCGATTGAGACAAGATAAAATTCACCTAAAGTTGTTCATTCCATTGAAAGGATCTGTTACATTAGTTGAACAATCGATACTTATAAGGCAATTCTCTTCTATAAACAAAATTCCTTCGACATATTTTTCAAGTTTAAACAACTATTTCTTTTCCATATTCGCTAAATTTTTTCTTCCTATTATGTTATGCGAGCAAGATAGGCTAATTAAAAGCACAGAGTCTTTTAAGAGAAGGGTATTATTGGACTAACTAATCAAGTGAACATAACAAACATTATTTACCCTAAACAAGATTAACACAAAGCCAAGCAGAATATTAAAAAATGGCTATATTCTTAGGGTTAATATATATATATATATATTAATTCTGGAAAACCCAAAAAAAAAAAAAAAAAAAAAAAATTAACACCAAAAAAAAAAATGATGAAAACAGAATAAATAAGTGATTGTAATTCTTTGAAAAGATTAAAACTGCATTAAATGCATGCAAAAAGCATAATCACCATGAAATTAAACTAATAAGGAAAGAAAAACCCATCAAAGCAGTTGAAATAATTGGAATACCAGCGGTTTGGTACTTCCCGATGAAAAGGCTTCAGATTTAGAAGCCCAACCTCAGTATTGAGGCCATGTCAAATTAGCAGAATAAGTCAAAAATTGGACTCAAACATCCGAAAAACCATGAAGGGAGAAAGGACGTATTAAAAAAAAAAAAAAAAAAAAAAGATTAACACCAAAAAAAAATGATGAAACAGAATAAATAGAGTGATTGTAATTCTTGAAAAGATTAAACTGCATTATGCATGCAAGCAATACATCACCATGAAATTAAACTAATAAGGAAGAAAACCCATCAAAGCAGTTGAAATAATTGAATACCAGGTTTGGCCTTCCCGATGAAAGGCTTCAGATTTAGAGCCCAACCTCATAAGAGCCATGTAATTAGCAGAATAGTCAAATGGATAAAATTAAAACCATGAAGGAAAAGGACGTATGAAGAAAGCAGCAAGAATATGAAGTTAAACAAACAAAAGAGAAAGAAAAGAAAAAATTGTCCAAATAGAAAAGCATTCTCCTCGCATTGTAAGAGAGAGAGGGATAGCGAGTCTAAAGCAACAAGTGAAAGGAGAGAAAGAAGCACGTCTAGTGGCTATTTGTACATCTTTAGACCATATCTCCTTCCTTTTCTCTCTATTCGGATTCAGTCGTTTTTCTCATCATAATTTTCATTCTCTTTAATTAATTATTACTTTTTTTTTTTTGGTTTATAGATAATATTTCAAGATTGAAGTATTTTATTTCAATGTAGTCATGCATGCATATTACATTTTAAGTTATAAATTATCATATTTATCAATAAATTTTATACTTAATCACAAAATTATGAACAGTTAATCAAAAGAAAAACTAATTTTAGTCTTTTAAAACAATTTTTTCTTATTTGCATTGAGTAATATTCCTATCTGTTTGTACAAGTGATATTAATCTACATCGATAATTAAATAAAACTCTATCAATTTATGCGAGTAAAATTAATTTATATTGATATTCAAATAAAATTCTTTTAATAATCACGACTCGTTAGGATTCCTGGATTTGAAGCTCGTCAAACATTGGTTTTTCATATACTACCATTGTTTATAAAAAAAAAAAAAAGAAATTAAAAAAAAATGGATCAAGACAAAGATTTTGAGTGTGTCATAATAGATGATGGGGTTGTGAATTGCGATTGGTTGTCCATATAATATAATAAAAATAAAATAATTAAAACCCATGAAATGAGACAAAGAAAATGAGGGAGAAAGGGTTTGAAATATATACATAGGAGAATAATAATTGGTTACATAGAAAAGTGTCAACATCCTTCTTCCTTCTCATGCTCACATCATATTCTTGTTGTCTTGTAGTTGTCAACTTAATTTATTTAGCGTGTGACACTCACAAATTTTACCAATCCATCCTTTTCATTTTTACCTAGTCAAACTTTATCCCATAAATTTTATGAATAATTATATTAACTCCATCTTCATCTTATAATTTTTCCATAAATTCAATAATTAAGTTTAAAAAATAAGCAATTTCTAAAAAAAAAAAATCAATTTCTACAAGAATTGTGCAATCACATGTTAATTGCACGTGAACTCATTGTTAAAATTGAATTAATATTTTACCAAACATGAAAATATAATATAAAAATTAGATGATAATTGAATTTTACAAATCACTTCTCGTCTTTTATCTATCAATCATCAATTGATAATATGATTATGGTATTACATTTTTTTTTTGTCGGTTTTGAGAAAATTGAGGATTATGCTAAAGAGATTCTTTATATAGATATATAATAATTTTGAGGAAACATATATTTCTAGTTTAATTTATAGAGTGTTATCATTATTATTATGATCTTATGTAGAATAAGAGAGAAAGAGTGTTATATATTATATATATGGTCATTCCATTTTTAGGTGAACCCAATTGGCTGGCACCCACTTTGTCAAGATTGAGGACATTTTTACAAACTTTACATTTTTTATGGAAAATGATGCAATTTGAATTTTTATTATTCACTTTGTTGCCTTATTGGAAATAATGACAAGCCAAATTAGTTGGCACCCATTTTACTAATAATTAAAAAGAAAAAACATATTTCACTTTATGGTTATACAATGATGGATTTAAGATCATGAAAATTCAGTTCCACCATCTCCTTCACCATGTTAATATTTTAGTGAAATTTGTAGTTTTTTATATTTATTAAGTTTAAATCCAAACATAAAGTGTATATATATATATATATATATAACTCTAAGATATTTTTATTTTTAACATAGGATATGATACGACTGTGACAAGAAAAATCAGATAAACTTTATGATATTCAAAAAATTGTTAATTTTCTAACGAATGATTGGAATCAGCAAAAATGAATTTGAAATTTGAAATTATTGTCAGTAGAAAAAGTTACCACGATGAGTTCCTTTATTGATAGAAATGCATCCAACGATCGCTCCATGATAATATTTGATAATCCTTGCCTCATAGTTACTTTTTTTTTACTTTGGATCATAAACTATTAAACCCAAAAAGAAGTTCTTGGAATAACAAGGATGATTTTACAACCCTAACTATATGTCACAAGACAAAATTTTGGAAGACATGCAATAAAATTGCCTCCATTTTGAAGGAAACAATAAATTAAGATTAAGATGTGTTTGGTTGTTATTTGTGACCCACAATGTTGGTGGGTTAGCTGGTTTTAGTACCATGCATGTGGTCTCCATCTCAAGCAATAGAGAGACAAAGGCCACCATCTACATTTTAAAAGTGGGCCATATTTGATTTAATTTCATCATGTTTGGGTTTTCAATTTTAATGATGTTTCTAAAGAGAATTGGTGGGCTCTATATTACCTTTGGTTTTGTAGTTTCCTTTCTCATCTTATCTTTTGGACAAAGATAAATGCTAATTTTGATCCTTTAAACTTGTATTAAATAATCAACTTCATTAAAAATTGATTTTTTGAATGTTCATTTTGGATCAAATTGAGTATTCCTTAAAAGTTATGGATTAGATTGAATTTTCATTCTTTGGATAATTATAGGTCCTTGTATTGGCCAATGTTCTTGTTCATGGGTCTTTTTCTATGTCCTTCCAAACAATGTCCATAATATTTTGGCCTCACTCTCTATAATGTTAGTGACCCACCATAACCAAAAGGAAAACTATATATACATATACACAAGTTGATTTATCAATTTATTACGTGTTGTTTCATTTAACTGTTAGTTGAAAGAATAATTCTTTTTGGATTGAAAAGCAATTATGTTAAAAATTCTCTCTAAGATGCTTACTCTCCGACTTGATCCAGCAATCGCTAGAGTAGAATTTAGCATGTTTCAGCCACTAGAATTTACTATTTTGAATTATAAATTATATGATTTAACAACAAATGAAAAGAGCTAACTGGCTACGGTTATTGTTATTTATTAATAATGTTTAAATGAAATCTATTAAAAAGTTTATTTCCCAATTCAAAATCCATATTTTTAGATTTTATTATTTTCTATATCATCTTTATTTAAATTATACTACTGTTATCTCGAACTGCTGCAGTTGGGAGGATTTTATACAAATATTATCCTAGTTTGAATATAGAAACACGTGTGTAAAACATGGAAATTTCATTAAACCACAACGTAGTTAGCATAGGGCATTAAGCAAGAGAGTGTAACAAGATATACATACACTTTGGATTTCATTAACTACAATTAGCTTCTTGGGTTAAGCTTTTTAGAAAATTCCACGAATTACTCGGCACTTAGAAAAATTACAGTTTCTTTAAAGAAAAAAATTAGATATTTTTATAAAATTGTGGTAATTTTATAAAAGAGTGTGTCATATTCTTAAACCGTGTACATGCGACCCGTGTTTGATATTAATGAAAAAATAAAATAGACAGCCTTCTTAAAGATCCCTGTTGTTATGCTGGCTTTCCAAGATACAAGTATACTTTAGATCCGAAGAAAATGGTAAGATATCAGAAAAGAATCAGGATAAAAAGAATAAGGGTGAATTATTATTTAGTACATATAATTTGACTAAATTACAATTCAACACTTATTTTTTTAACAATTAATTAAATGGTCCCTTTATTTTTCAAATTGTTTCATTGAAGTCCAAATACGATATTCTTCAACTATTATGGTTAGTCAGTACAAATTTAACATTAAAAAAAATGAAAAAATCAAAATTTTCAGTAGAAAATTACTCTTATAGCTACTCAGTAAAACATTAATCCTCTCTTCTCTCTCAGTTTCTTAATCCTTCTTTCTCATTATAGTTCATCCACAGCAATGGATGAAGAACCCAAATCAACTCCACTCTATCACCTGGAAACGATGAACGTTTTGTTCTTGAAGATGATGGCTATAAACAAACCATTTTTATGCTTCAAAGAGCTTGTATTTATACAAGCAAAGCTAACCCAAGTTTGCAAAATTTCCATAGAGAGAGCAGAGAAGAAAGGAACGAGAGGGTGAAGAGGAGGGAGAAGAGGAAGAAAACAGAATGAGTGGATGATTTTAGCTCAGACCTCAGACCAGATACTATATTAAGGTTAAAAGAGACATTTTACACTACTATAATTGTTTATTCAAATTATTTTATTAATTTTTTAGAACTTATAAATTTTATAAAATTATAGGAATTAAATATTAACTTAAGCAAAAATAGTAATAATAAAGAACAGACACATGAAAAGAGTACTATTGCCACTATAATTACTACTGCCACGACAACCCCACCCACTTGATATTTTTATTTTTTATTTTTCTTTAATTTTAGGAGAATTGAGGGGTTTTTTTTTTTTTTTTTTTTAAAAGAGATCTATTGTTTAAACACTAACTTTATGAATTGTTTTATTCAAATTTTAATTTATAATTTAAGTATTTTTTAGAAACGTTATAGAATTTTATAAAATGTGTATAGTAGCGTGAATAGAATATTAACTTAAGGCTAAATAATAGTAATAATGAAAGAAGGAACAGACACATGAAAAAGGAGTATATGCCACGATATAACTACTACTGCCACGAACCCAGAACCCCCAACCCACTTGAAATATTTTTTATTTTTTTATTATTTCTTCTTTCAATTTTAGGGAGGAATTGAGGGTTTTTTTTTTTTTTTTTTTTACTTACGGTGCGTTAAAGCCTTTTCCTGTTGTTTCAGATGTATGTTGTCTTGTTTGGACTCATGGACAATTGAGTCCAAAAAGTGCTCTCTTTTTTCTTTCTGCTCTCTCCTCTCTCTCTCTCTTTGCTTAACCTGCTGTTGCTGGATGGATTTTTTCTCCTATCTTTGTCTCTTTCTTCTCTTGTCTGGCCATCGATTTTCTTGATTGAAATTCTTTTTAAAACTGATAATGCAAGAATTCTTTAGGAGCTTCTTTCTCTTTTTCTTTATCTAATTTATTATGTTTAAATTGAGGGGTTTTTTTTTTTTTTTTTCTTCTTAGGTGCGTTAAAGCCTTTTCCTGTTGTTTCAGTGTATGTGCTTTTTGGACTCTTGCATGATCCAAAAAGTTGCTCTCTTTTTCTTTCTCTCTCTCTCTCTCTCTCTCTCTCTATCTTTGCTGATGGGTTTTTTATCTGCTTCTCTGTCGGCCATCGATTTCTTGATTGAATCTTTTAACTATATGAAGATTCATTAGGAGCTTCTTCTCCTTTTTCTTATTATTTTTATTATTTGTTTATGTTTATTTTATGGGATTTTTTTCTTGGAGGTTATGTGATTGCATAAAGCTCTTTTTCTGCTAAATTTAGCGCAGAATTTGGAGCAGCTTGGCATTAGTTACTGATATTTTTGGGCTGGATAAAGTGCAAAGACAAACAGAGATCAAGAAAAGGAAAACATAAATATTGGTGCTTTTAGTCTTCTAGTGGATTGAACAGTACTACTGTGGAAATCCTTGTTTTAGTCTTCAATTTTGGCGATTTCTGGTGTAGAAAAAGAAAACCCATCTAGATTTTGAGTTCAAAAGAGGTATATGTCTGCTTCAAAGTCAATGAATTGAGAAGGATTCTGTTTGTTTGCAGAGAAAATGCTGGAAAGTTGGGGATTAAGAAAAACATGAGGTTATAAGTGTTAAAAAGATTCTAATTTTCTGGTCTTGAATTCTAATTTGTTTGTATCTACGTGAAAAGATACAATTTCTCACTACGTGGCAAACAGAGATTCCTCAATTTCAGTTTTTTTCGTTGATCATTCATATATGCTTCTTTATCAGGTAACAATTCAATCAAATTCTACTTCCATTAACTGAATTACATAATTTTCAATAAACAGTTCTTAATTGTTTTGATCTATCTGGGTTTTACAGGACAAATCGCCAAAGACATTAATAAAAAGAGGGAAAAAAAGTTAATCATTTTCTTATTTTAGTGAAATGATTACATTTATGGAAGCAAAAGATAGAGTTAAGGAGGTAGATAAATGCTTGGATTCACAGTTATGGCATGCCTGCGCCGGCGGGATGGTTCAAATGCCGGCGATGAACTCAAAAGTCTTCTACTTTCCTCAAGGCCATGCAGAACACGCCTCTGGTTCAATAGATTTCAGGACCTTGCCACGTGTCCCTCCTTATATACTCTGCAAAATCTTAGCCATTAAATTCATGGCTGATCCTGAAACTGATGAGGTATATGCTAAAATTAAGTTGGTTCCCGTTAGTGGTAATGAAGCAATGGAGGATGAACAAGAAGGTGTAATTAATGGAGGAGGAGAAGGGCAAGAAAGTAATAAACCAGCTTCATTTGCAAAGACTTTAACACAATCTGATGCTAACAATGGTGGCGGTTTTTCCGTTCCAAGGTATTGTGCAGAGACTATTTTTCCAAGATTAGATTATTCAGCTGATCCACCTGTTCAAACAATTCTTGCTAAAGATGTTCATGGAGAAACATGGAAATTTAGGCATATTTATAGAGGAACACCAAGAAGACATCTTTTAACAACTGGGTGGAGTACTTTTGTCAATCATAAGAAATTAGTAGCAGGAGATTCAATAGTGTTTTTGAGAGCAGATAATGGTGATCTTTGCGTAGGAATTCGAAGAGCGAAAAGAGGAATTGGAGGTAGTCCTGAGTCTTCTTGGAATCCAGCAGGTGGGAATTGTGTTATGCCTTATGGAGGGTTTACTGGTTTTCTTAGAGAAGAGGATAATAAGATAATGAGAAATGGAACTTCCGGTAATGGTAATGGTTCGAGTGCAAATGGGAGTTCTATTTCGAGAGGGAAAGTTAAAAGTGAAGCAGTAATTGAAGCTGCTAGTCTTGCTGCTAATGGAAAACCGTTTGAGGTTGTTTATTATCCGAGGGCTAGCACTCCTGAGTTTTGTGTAAAAGCTTCTTTAGTTAAAGCAGCATTGCAGATCCGGTGGTGTTCAGGGATGAGGTTTAAAATGGCTTTTGAAACTGAAGATTCTTCTAGAATTAGTTGGTTTATGGGTACTATTTCTTCTGTTCAAGTTGCTGATCCTATTCGTTGGCCCGATTCACCATGGAGGCTTCTCCAGGTAATGTTGATATCGATCTTGATCTGAATTTTACACTCAGTATGATATTTATGATAAAGCTGTTGCTTATTTGTATGATTGTATAAGTTTTATAAATAAGTTTACTTTCAAAGTTGCTTTTTGACCATTTTAGAAGCAATGTCCTATTGTTTTCTCATTTCTGTTCTGTTCATTGGCGAGTAATTTTTGTGAATTGCTGGTTTCAACTATTGGTGGTATATGCTTTAGTGGCTTATGTAAAAAAAATTTAGTGTATATGATCTGTTGCCTTGAATTTTTACAAATTATACAAATTTATTGTCTGATAAATTGGCTTAACAATTCGGTTCTGTTTAATTTCATGATGTGTTTGTATAAACATGATTTTGAAACAGCATAGAACCCAATTTGATTTTCTGCTGTAATTGTTCTTTTTCTTATTTTCCATAGTCATTTGTTGCAGGTAACATGGGACGAGCCTGATTTGCTTCAAAATGTGAAACGTGTAAGCCCGTGGCTAGTGGAATTGGTATCGAACATGCCCACCATTCATCTATCTCCCTTCTCACCGCCAAGGAAGAAGTTGAGACTGCCACAACACCCTGATTTCCCCCTCGATGGACAATTTCCAATTCCAACGTTTTCCGGCAATCTCCTTGGGCCCAGCAGCCCCTTTGGTTGTCTACCAGACAACACTACTCCTGCTGGCATGCAGGGAGCCAGGCATGCTCATTATGGTCTATCTTTATCAGATCTCCACCTTAATAAACTGCATACAGGTCTAATTCCAGCTGGTTTCCCCCCACTACTTGATCATACTGCTACACACACTAGAACCTCAAATGGTCCTATAATTCAAAAGCCTAGCATGAGTGAAAGTGTATCTTGTGTCCTAACAATGTCACATGCTTCTACCCAGCCTTCGAAGAAACGGAATGATGCAAAAACACCCCACCTTGTACTTTTTGGTCAACCGATACTTACCGAGCAGCAAATCTCTCTTAGCTGCTCTGGTGATGCTGTGTCCCCAGTCCTTACAGGAAATAGTTCATCTGAAGGGAATTTAAATAAGACGACAAATTTTTCGGATGGCTCTGGGTCTGCTTTTCATCAACAAGGCCTATTAGAGCGCTCATCATGCGAAGGTTTCCAATGGTATAAGGACAATCGCCAAGAAAATGAGATGTCTTTGGAGACTGGTATCTGCAAAGTCTTCATGGAATCAGAGGATGTCGGTCGCACGCTTGACCTTTCGTTGCTAAGGTCTTATGAGGAACTGTACCGAAAACTTGCAGATATGTTTGGTATTGAAAATTCTGAGACATTGAACAATGTGCTTTACCGTGACATTACTGGCTCTGTCAAGCACATTGGGGATGAACCATTCAGGTGTGAGTCTGGTGTCATTTTTAAAGCTTGCTATGGTTACTATAAAGTATGCAAATTTCTTTTCGAGTGATGTGTTTTTTGATTCATTTCTTGCAGTGACTTCATGAAAACAGCAAGAAGATTGACAATTCTAATGGATTCAAGCAGTGATAATGTAGGATTGTAGAGAGAAATAAAAAGTGGTTTCGAATTGTACAGCTGGCTGATCGAACCCTTCATGTTCTTGAGCTGACATTTTATCCTTCTTCGACTTGTGGGAGGAGCTACTCTGATCCAATTTTTGGAATTCTAAGCTAAAGTTTGTTTCACTCCATTTTTGGAAGAAGGAATATTTTGATTTCAAGACTTTGTTTTTAGTATCACAGTTCATTAATCAGCATTTTGTTGGTATTGTTTCTTTAGGTTTCTTTGTCTTGCAAATACAAGTCTTTTGCAGGACAGCATTTGTAACAAATGTTTTCTTTTTTGGAATGCATTGAAGCCTTTTTGGTAATAGAAGTTCCCTCAGACATAAATGCAAATGCAAAAATAAATATTTCAACTTTCAGACTGAGGTTGATATTTTTCCTTTTCTTCTTCCTCTTCTTGCTGTTTATGGAAAATATTTAAAGGGAAGAAAAATGAAACTCAACCACAGAAAATGTCATATGATGGACTAAATTTTCTGTTTTGCAACTATGATTAATTCAATCGGATCAAACACTATTTTTTACAGCATTTTGTAACAATAGCATCACTGTAATGTTTTATAAAACGTTTTATAAAAGTTCTAAACAAATAGGTAAAATGATACTACAACGACTAACAGTTACCAAAATAAAACTAATTTTTTCTGAAAATGCCCATCATATGCTGAAACCCGATTAATTTATTGTTAAAAGAATCATAAAACGTCAATTAGCAAAGAAAAAACATAAAATCAAATTGAGATTGGTTGTTCTCCATGACTAGGAAGCAGATTTTGGTAGGGAAATTTGGAATCATTCCATAAAACGTCAATTAGCAAGTAAAAGAAAAATAAAAAGAGAAGCCATTGAAAATGATAGGAACGAATTGATTTAAAGAAAAATAGGGTTGTTTCGTGCATGACTTAATAAAATGGGTGGTTAAAAGTCTAGTCACAGATTAAAACAAACAAAGGGTTGAGTTGACAAACATGAGATTATTAGAAAGAAACTACATTTGATGTTTCACACGACAATAGATTATCAAATAGTGATTCTTAGCTAATAGATTGTTGACACTTGTTATTATTTCCAAAATACATATATTCATTAAAACGAACAAAAAGACTTTTTAAGTGTTGTAGAGGCACAAGTCACACACATGTGCACATGATAGTGATATGATCATCATATGTCAATGGTTCCACCATCATTGATGATAATTTTGTGAGATTATAAGTTATATTTATATATAATTAATTAAATTTAATTAAAATTCAATTCACACAAACTATAAATCTATGATTTACACTCATTTTCTATGCTCAAGCTTTTTTTTTTTTTTTTCCTCAATATGGGTTTTGAGAATGAAGTTAACCTCGTTCTCTGCTCAAAAAACTTGTTCTTGGGTTTAATTTCGCTAAATTTTGATAAGTTTTTTCTTTTTATTATTATTAATAGCTAATAAAACTGATTTGATTGCTGATAAAAGAAAAATATATATGAAATTCAGAGCTATTTCATCTCCAATACGAATTTAACCCATAATTTTACAGAAATTATTTAAAATTTAATATATTTTACTATTTGAGTCACTCTCTGTAATTTTTTTTTATTAGGCGAGTGGAATTTGTGATATAAAAATGAAAGAAAATAAATGTCCCATCCTGATGCCGCACGATTGGGGTCAAAAATTTCATTTTTTGTTTAAAAAATACAGAAGAAGCATTGGGATTTGTAAAAATAATTGTCAAAGACAAAGTCAAGAGTTTTGTGTAATTTTTTGTTTTTTAAAATCAGAAACCATAGCTGGAAAGCAAGAGCAAGCAATCAGAAAACACATTCCCTACTAGCTTAGCTACATGCAAAAACAAAACCAAACCTAATCCGCCGCACGTGAGAAGGTGTAATTCAGGGTAGGATAGGGGACCCACATGGGATGGTCAATTTGGTAGTAATACAAAAACATTTAACTAAACTCTATTGTTTTTCAGAATAGAAAAAGAAAATGAAAAAGAGAGGAGGTAATAATAATAATAGATTCACGTGTGGCTAACGTAAGCAAAACAAAGAGCGTCGCATGTGTTGCGGCGTTTCGTTGAGCGGGCTGTTGTGTTTCACGGCCAAACTTTGCTTTTTGACCATTCGTTTTACCGTTATAACCATATTTCCCTGCCTCCCCGCTTTTCCCGCCTTTTTTCCTCTAAATTACTGTAATTCGAGTTACAAAATAAGCTTTGTTTTTTTTTTTTTTTTTTTAAAATCGTCTTTTTTATATTTTTTATAATTTCAAAGACTATTTTTCCATAATCTATCAATATTTATTGATAATCTACCGTTATTTATTCAGTATTCTATAATATAATTATCCTCCAGTTATTCCCTTGATTTAATTGAAAAAAGTTAAACATTTTATAAAATTTAGATTATTAACTGCATTCTTTAATTTATATGCCGAGCTGGAAAAATAACACATATTTTGAAACAAAATAAATATTTTTGTAAAGTAGGAAAAAATAGACATGCATATTTATATACAAAAAATACTTATTTATATATAATATATCAAATCAAGCCAAATGAAAAAAACATAAAATCGAAGAATTTTTTTTCATAACCCTTGCTCAATGTATGGATCCACTAATACAGCTAGACGTAGGCATCCAAAATTGGGAGATTCGAATCTTTCACTTAAAAGAAAAGGGAAAAAAAAAATAAATTATCAATTTTTTTTTAAATGATGCTTATCTATTTATAGATGGGCCTATGAATTAATGGAATTAAGTCATACCCAAAACTAGGAAAATAATAAAAGGCATATGCAAAGGAAATTTTCCATTATTTTGTGAAGGAAAGGAAAAAAATAATAATGGGTAAAGAGAAACTAAATACTAATACAATTTAATTACATGATGCTAATTTGTTGTGGATTATTGTATTGGATAATTTTGTTATTAGGTGGGTTTTCCATAAATATAATTAGTATACACATTAATCTCAATAATTGAATTCTAATAAGCAATTAAGCATAATCTTTATATATTGGAAAATAACACATATTTTTGAAACAACAATAAATATTTTGTAAAGTAGGAAAAAATGACATGCACTTATTTATATACAAAATACTTTAATTTATTATTAATATATCAAAATCAAGCCCAAATGAAAAAAAACATAAAATCGAAGAATTTTTTTCATAACCCTTGCTCCAATGGTATGCATCCACTGGAATAACAGCTAGACGTAGGCATCCCAATTGGAGATTCGATCTTTCACTTAAAAGAAAAGGGAAAAAAAAAAAATAAAATATTCAAAATATTTTTTTTTTAAATTGAGCTTATCTGAATTTTCATAATGGGCCTAGAATAAATTGGAATTAAGTCGATACCCAAAACTAGGAAAATAATAAAAAGGCATATGCAAAGGAAATTTCCATTTATTTTTTGAAGGAAGGAAAAAATAATAAATGGGTAAAGAGAAACTAAAATACTAATACAATTTAATTAACATGATGCTAATTTGTTGTGGATTTATGTATTGGAAATTTGTATATTAGGGGGTATTTCCCTTATTAAATATTCCAATTAGTATACACATTAATCTCAATAATTGAAATTCATAGACTAAGCAAAATTAAGCATAATCTTATATAATAGTATGGATATATAATATATATAATATAATAATTATATGCACTCTATCTTTTGGCTACACAAGTATAATTTTTTTATTGTTGTATTTTTTTAAACTTAATATTATATATTTTTTCTTTTATATATGATGTTGTAGTGTTGGTTAGTGCGGTCTACTTTACCTTGTAAAATAAGGACTAGTTTTGGAGAGACAGGTGATGGTTGTATAACTTTTCCCAATAGAAAGTGAATAAAGAAGAAAAGATTACAAAGTAAACTGTGTTTATTATCTTTTATGTTTTTATTTTTCTCATGCGACAAATCATCTCCACTTCACACTCATTTTCAATAGATGCCCGAAGAAAATTAATCATTCCTAAACTTCCTTTCATACATTTAAAGAAATTGGAAGTTTTTTGTACGAATAGCATACGTTGGAAGTGCCATATTCCTAGAAAATGAAGTCGGGAATTTAAATTTCATAACAATCTTATTTTCTATTATTCCTTAAAATATGACTACACATTCCCCTTTAATTTAGCTTTTTTTTTTTTTATTGGGGAATATTGGTATCTATAATTCACATAATAAATATATTAATAATGTTGTTGCGATTATGTATTCAGAACGAAGGAAGCCAAAAATTTTTATTGACTAATGTAGAGGTCCGACTCTCAAAAGATCTAAGAGGATTTGCATTTGATCAAAACAGCCATCCAATACAGAAATAACCAATTTCAATAAGCTTTATACTTTTTTATTACTGAATGGAATGGCTTATAATTTTTTTTATATATGGCACTCTTCTTTTGCACACAAGTATTTTTTTTCAATTCTTATAGGTGATGTTTGGTTGGTGTAAATAGACTAGTTAGGGTTGTATAACTTTTTAGAAAGTGAATAAAGTAACTGTGTTTAATTTGTATTATCAATTCCACTTCGCGAAATTATATCATCTAACTTCCTTCATACGAGGAAAGTTTTTTGTAGATAGCTCTGGAAGTTGCATTTTCCTAGTTAAATGTATCGAATTTATTAATTTATTCTATTATCTAAATATGCTCAATTTTATGTTATGAATATTGTTATAATTTATAGTTTGAGAGCAATTTATTTTCTATGGAGTAGATTTGCATGCCAAATACATTCAAATTATATTTTCTGAGATATAATTTTTTTTTATAAGAGTACTTTCAAAAAACTACACTTTGCGCGAAAATAGACCATTTTAAGGTTCTATTAGTTATTTTAATAGCGTTTAACTAATAGTTGTTTAAGTAGTTTTTCATAAAACGATAAACGTTATACGTTACATGAGTTAACTTTTTATAAAACTTTAACTTAACCTCTAAAAGCTAGTTCAAAACTATGTTATCAAGAACTATACAAAATAGTTGTTTTAGCGTTTTGACTGATTCAAATAATAAAAACTATTTAAAAAGCTGCTGCTCAGCGCGTTCTAAATTAACTTTTTATAAAACTCTAACTTAACCTCTAAAAGCTAGTTCAAAACTATGTTATCAAACACTATACAAAATAGTTGTTTTAGCATTTTGACTGATTCAAATAATAAAAACTATTTCAAAAGCTGCTGCTCAGCACGTTCTAAATTAAATGAGGGTTTAGTCTCCCATATATTGAGGGAGGATATGCTTACGTCAAAAGTATTTCGGTGGGAATTGAAACCATATCATGTTATGTTGAAATATAAATTTTTTTATACATTCAATTACCTAAACCAAAGGGTTTAATTTTAATTTATTGATTATGTAGATACTAAATAGCATGGGTGATGTGGGTTAAGAGGTAATTTAATTAATTAATATCTTAATTAATCCTTTAATTAGTAATTTAGAAGTCATGACCGACACATAAACACAAGCTCCTCCTTGGTGAGTAGACCTCTTCATTGGATCTTGTGAATTTGCTGAAACCGTTTCATCAACGTTTCCTTTTTGTCTCTCTTTCTGTCTTTTTAATGCAACTATAAAATAATATTTCATTCAATTCCATTTGCCTTGTTGTGTTTATCTATTATAATATAATTTTATATATTTAATTAATCAATTTGCATATTTTAAATTTAAAAATATGAACATATTTAGAGTTATATTACATCACTGTTGCAAAATTCTTTCTTCTCATATAAGCAAATTGTAATTTTCCAAGTAGACAAACGAATTAAGAGAAAGAAAAAACAAATGGTCAAAAGCACGAATGAAGAGAAAGGGGACAAAAAACAAATGCCTTTCCCAAAGCAATTGTTTTAATTTTTTAAATATTTATTAACTAACTTAATTTTCAGTACCAATATAAAAAAATATATATAATAAATAAAAAATAAGGGCATTATTGGTGTCTTATAGAAGGGCAGGGGGTGCCTCCCCTAGGGTAAGGGGTTTTACTTTGGCTTTAAAATTACGTCAAGGAAGTGTCAGTTCAGAGATGCACAAAAAGGTATTTTTATCTCTCAAAAAAAAAAATAATAATAATAATAAAAAAGAGTTGGTTTTGAAAGATCCAAGTCACGGCAAACAGGGCACGCTATATGGGACAATTACGTCATCAACATTGAATGAATCTGCTTTATTTGTCTTTTTATTTTATTTATTTATATTGTTATTAACACTCTACGTTTTGATTTCTCCACTCCTTAATAACACGGCAATTGTTATTAACAATTATCTTTCAAAAATCAAATTAAATAATATAATTAGTGAGTTATTGTTTAAATGAATAAAATTTTATAGAAATAAATTACAAAAATGCGATTTAAGTCAAAAGTCCGGTCAGGGCTTACGTGGAGGAGAAGAGTTAAGTAAAATATAAGGAAAAAAAGTAAAAGGAAATGGGTCCCACACGGAGTCTCTATCAAAGTCCGTGTTTAGTTAGTTTTACCTCAAAAGTCTCTTCCTACAAAAACGACAGAGATTCTGGCAACCTGCCACGCCCCGTGCGGTGGACCCCACAACACCCCCAACTGAAATTCATATGAATCCCTTTCCAAATCTAGCGACCGACATCCATCCATTCACACCCGCACCTTCCCCACCTTTGATTGCGACGTGTCTCTGCCTCCACCTCCGCTTTCGTCCACCCTTTGGGTAATATTATCTTTCTTCCACCATTGTTATGAATTTATTACTGTCGGCTGGGCTTTATGGGCCAGGCAACCCCGAGCCCCTTTTTTAAGGCCCAATTATATGCACACATATTAATCACCTAAAACATAAAATGATTTCTTTCAAGCAACCATTCTGATTGAGCATATTTAGTGGGATAATTTTAATTTCATTACACAAATGCCAACATTTCAATTACAGACTTTATCAAGCAATTACATATACTGAAGGAGTGTAATTGGCAAATTAGGTAATTACCAAACATAACAGTCTTCACACGTACATAAATAAAATCCTTTCATACTGAATTGGCATCTATTGCCCGGTGGAAAGTAAAATATAACAGCAGGCATCTTCTGGTATGCTCCAGAATTCCCAATGCATTTACAAGAGTAAAAAACCTGCAATCAAAGCATAATTGAACTCACACGATCTGAAAACAATTGCAGCCACAAAGTTTATTCAAATTTCTAGCATCAATATATCAAAAGCTAAGACAAACTGTAAATACATATGCATGCTATGCCTACGAAGCCTGGCACCCAAGTGCTGAAGAGTTATATACCATATGGAATTTTGCGGACTAACGGAAAACACGGTCAACTGGCAGCATATTTAAACTAAATAAACTTGCCAGGTTTTTGTTTTCTGTATATATAATTCCTCCATTTTAGTCATTTACAGTTCTGAGAAATACCATCCGAATGCCAATTTGAAATACAATACTGAGAACATATGCTGTCGCTCTGTTTATAAGAATATGCACCTTAATGAGTAGTTAAGCAAGAGAGAGAAATAGTTTGATTATAGATCTATTCACCAGAAGCTATCACTCTTACACCCAATGGAAAGAATATATGTATATGAAGTTGCAAATTCGTTTCCCACCAAAGCAATTATGACCAATACATCCTATGTTTCCATTCCATTGCCCCATATCCAATTAATCAGTGAAGAAATGAGAAACATTTTTTACTAAATTATGTTGATTGTTGATGAACTTCCACATGCAGACAGCATAATCTCTCAAACTCGTCTGTGTTTGAGAAAGCAACATGTTAAATGCTCTTAACCAATCATAGTAGCTAGTATTCTGTGTATTTCGGAAAAAAGTAAATAAGAAACTTCCTTTGATTATTTGGGAAAAAAACTTACATTGCAAGATAATTTTATTTGCCATAGAATTGATAACATGTAATGACTCATCTAAAGTCCAATATTCAATAGCCATTCAGCCATCGTGCATTCTCGACGTTACTTTTGCTGTCCCGAGATCCATGGAAATGAGTATTGATAAGACATAGGGATATCATAATGAAAATTCATTAGAACTGATACTGAATCAAAGAAAAGTTTTTAAACCCAAGTTTATATTACATTACACTCCATTATGGTTCACAAAACATAGCCTCACTTGACTGCCTATAACAGAATTAAATATCCTGTTGTTCCAACACCAACTCTGCTTCTCTTCCTTCTCCTAAATTCGAATTTTAATAAATTCATTCTTCACTTAATCACTATCTAATGGCTATAACAAAAAATTCAGTTCTAAATAGCAAATTCAGATATAATTTTCATCCAACATAACTGAATTGTCACCCTCCCATTTTCTATTGCTACCCATAAATCCAATCCACCAATTTGTCCTAAATTCCTTTTTGAATTTCAATTGGAAGTAAAATTATGGCATCATTATTCAGCTGCTCAATCAATTCTATCAATATCCAACCCTATTGAATGCAAAGAAATCAAGCAATCAAAAATAATTAAGAGAACAATTCGCAATTTATTAGAGAAAAAAAAGGACTATTGGAGCAAAAACCTAACCTTTTAGCTGTAATAGAGCTCAAGACCCATGCCATCATGGATCTCATAGTCCCTCAGAGTTATATGGTCCTTGTAAATGGTGTACCACTTCTGTATCCTTATCTTCTCAGCTCTGGTACCGGTCTGCGCCGCCACCAGTTTTTTCAGATCGCCAATGGTGTCGTCATCATTACACTTCACTCTCACCTTCTTCCCCAACCGATCGTTCAACACCACCTCCAACATCTTCCGATTAGTAAAAACCCTAATTTCTCACCTCAAATTCACCAGAGAGAAATTATAAAAGGAGCCGCCGTGCCGTACAGACCGAAAAGTTGTCTACTTTATATACGTGGCACGCATTTAAGAGGAAACCATTAGATATAGAGAATTGAAAATGAAAATGAACGGTGGGGATGGAAGTGGGACCGTGTGAGAAAATTGACTTTAGAGCGGGTAACAAGTGACGCGGCAAAGGTATTGGAGGAGAGTGAAGGAGACAAATTCAGTGCCTCTAAACACTCACTCAAAAGCAAAAGAGAAAAGGCAAATCACGATTGAATTGAATCATCAATTTCAAGAAAACCCATTATTGATCATCGATCCTATGACCGGACAATAAAGCATTCGAGGTCATAAGCAATGAACGGGAGCCGGCCAACGGTGCATCCAGTGGAGGCGCCACCATTGACCAATGGGAATCAGAACGGACCGAGGATGAGGATGAAGGATGTTCAAGGCATGCCTGGGACCCCTGGCGGTCTCGCTCTTCGTGTTACTCAGTTTGTATTTGGTCTCATCTCTCTTTGTGTCATGGCCACCACCAGCGATTTCCGGTCTGTGACGGCGTTTTGGTATGTTTGGAACAGAAATTAAAATTTTAGATTAAAGTTTGGTGCTTTTTTGTTTTTCCGAAAAGTGTAAAGATTGTATTTTTTTTTTTTATGGTACTGTATCAGTTACCTAGTGATTGCTGTCAGCTTGCAAATATTGTGGAGCTTCTCGGTGGCTATTGTTGATGTTTATGCCCTTTTGGTGAAAAGAAGTCTCAGAAAACGCATAATTGTTCGTCTTTTTGCAATCGGGGATGGGGTAAAGTTTTCTTCTTCTTATGTATAAGTTTATTATATCTTGCTTGAATCTTGTGAATTTCAGCTCATGTTTGTCTGCTGGTGGATGAGGATAATACGGTGGGATTTCTCTGTATTTGCTATTCTTGCTTTGTTTGTATCCATGAAGTTTAATATTCATTTAATTCCAATTCATGGTTAAATCACTTTACTATTTGGTTTCTTATATGGTTAGGGCAATAGAGATGTAGGAGACAATTTGTTGTGAACCTAATGAGTTTGTACATAGAGTCGATCATCAGATGATTGAACCTAGTCATTTGCTTAATTTTATAATAGATAATGTTTTGCAATAAAATACCAATTCAACAAAATTGATGCTTACTCATAATTGGACAGAAGTTGCTGGTTTCTATACAGAAGTACTGTATTCATTACCGGCGGTTCGTAGCTGATTTTCCATGTCTTTTGATTGGACATGATCTGTTTAGAAGTGGTGTCTAACTTTTTTAATTTAACAGAAGAAGACTCAAAGTTAAACTTTACTTCGAGAACAAATTCTTATAGGTTTTTGCATAAATGATCATTGACAAATTCTTTTATCTAATTCGAAAGTTTGTTTAATTATCTTGAAAAGTGTCTATTATATTATTGTTTATCTAGTATGGCTTTTCAAGAATTATTTATTTACTTTTTTAATCTTTTAGTCTCATTCTAAATTTTCTGTTGGAGTATAGAATGACTAGAATTTTCCGCACTCAACTTTTATCATCTGATATCATTTTCTAAATATGAAGAGCAAGCTTGATTTTGACTCTTAAAGTGGATTTGTGTCATATGCTAGTATAATCTTTGCTCTGGTTTTAGTTGCAGTTATTACATAAGCACTGCATGAAATTGGGTTTATGTTCATCCCCAACTTATACTGAACAAGTGTTGCTCTTTTGCAGATTACATCCACCCTCACATTTGCAGCTGCTAGTGCATCTGCTGGCATCACAGTTCTTATTGGCAATGATCTTAACAAGTGTTCTATAAATCACTGCAGTAGGTTTGAAACTGCTACAGCCATGGCATTTATCAGTTGGTTTGCCATGACACCATCTTTTCTAATGAATTTTTGGTCTTTGGCTTCCCAGTAAGAACTGGATATGCGGAATCTTTACATACGCTGTGTTTTTTTGCGGTCCTTTTCTTGATGATTTTCAGTGGAGAGATTTCCAATTGCAAATAGTTTTGTAGATGGACAGATACAGTTTGGTCTGCTTAGTTCAATTTTGAAATCATCAATTGCAATATAGTACTTTTTATTGCTAGTAATATATAAAACTGGATTACTTGCAAAGTAGCATAACTATTGTGTCTATCGCCAACACCCACCCTCCTTTCTCTCTCTCCTCCTCCTCCTTACAATGGCTTTGAGAAGCTGATGAAATCTAAGCAGAGTTTACATGCAAATGGAAGCCAAGAACTCTAGTGCTAGAGGTGCTTGATTTCAGACTCCTATTATAAGAATGTGATAAATTTTATTTTCAGTTACAGTTTGATTATAATTGACACTTGAAATGTGTATCTTTATGTTTTATAATCTTTTCGGAGTCGGTCAAGGGCCAAGAAGCAACATGTGTTACATGCATAGGGGTTGCAGATATAATGTGATACCAGTGTTTCTTATTTATGTACCATAAATATAACACTCAACTAATTTGGCAATAGTTTTATCCTCTTGACTATTTTTAGGAATATTTATCATAGTTTCTGATCACAAGGATTGTGTTTCGTATGCGTAATAGAGAAGAGACGGATATGCAAGATAAAAGTCTTTATCCTCTTTTTATTGTTTGTTAAGAAGGCAAATGGTAACGGCCAATTTGAGATTTCTTAATGCCAAGTCATCTCCTCCTGTGTTATTACTATATATTAAGCTTGACCTGTTGAGCTTTTTGAGAGTGACGGACAAGAGAGGATTTAATTATGTCAAGAAGAGAAGAAGAAGAAGAAGAAAAACAAGAAGATGAAAGGAGATTGTATCAATGCGCGAGGAAGTATGAAAAGATTATAAAACAGGTACTTCGATATTTACAAAGTATGACTATATATTTCAATATCCATCGTATGATACCTGCGTCGATTAGAGTAGGAAAGAGAATGCTATTGATCTTGTTTCATTGTACTTGATAGCTACTTTATTTGCTATACAGCAACTAAACATTTTATCTAAATTCTATATTTACTGAGGATTTGCTAAAATCCCAAATTCAGTAATTTCTTAATGAGAGAGGATAAGCTTTTATACTGCAGCTTACAGAGAAATTTAGGGTTCAACGCACTGTGATTTTCATTCTTTGGAAGATCAAATTAATTATCTTTTGCATTGCTGAAAAAGGAAATCATAGTTTGGTTTGTGGGTTTTCTAACTTTTTTTTTCAGTTTGACGAGTTGATTGAGATGATGAACAACAAACCCCGACTGCCAAAACGAAGAAAACTGTCTTCTGTAAGTTGATGAATTTTGTATTCACTTCTCTATGTTTTACATATTTATCTCAGCATTCCCTTTTTCTATTCCTCATAATAAGTTTTTATTCCAGAAAATGATTTTGGTTACATTATTTCATTTCATTACAGCTCACCAAATATAACTAGATGCTTGGTTAAAGTTAAATTTTCATGGCTATATCTTAGCTGGTTTCTTGTTATGTTGTCAGAGTTGCAGAGGAAGCAGCAATGCTACTGTCTGTTTGTCAGCATCCTCAAGTCAACCAGACAACAATAAAGTAATTGTGCAGACAATGAAACAATTTCTCCATGACTTGGAAATGGAAGCCAAAACAGATTCTGATTTCTCAGTCACCAGGGAAACATAATAGCTCCCTTTCTATTTGATTCCACCTTCTAATTGTTTTCAACTGGTTCGCCAGATTATCAAATGAGCCTGTTTACATGTTTAATAATAAGATGTTGCAAATGAACAACCATGCAGAACTTTTCTGATTCCAGAAATGTATAAAAGTGAATTTTTACCAAAATTTTCGAAAATGTACATTATTGAGCATAGAAGCAGCAAAATCTAACAAATCCTTCCTCTCCCTAGTATAAATGCCTAAAGGGGGAACAGGCAAGAAAAATTAATGCATCGTTGCCAACATTACAGCAGTACCACTCTCTCAAAACCTTGTGGCTCAAAGATTGTTACGTACAATGTACATAAAATGTGAGGAGGGAAAAACAAGTCATCTCGTTCAAGAACGCCTTTCGCTTGGTGGAGTAGTTTAACTCAGACAAACTGCAATTTCTTTCATGAAAATTTTCTCAGGATGTGTTTTACTCGAGAAACAAGCTATCCCAACACAGAATTACATTAGGGTAGCGTCCTGTTAAGCCCACGTATCTATCATGACTCATGAGTGACACTTTAACTTTGCAGCTGCTAACTCCTTTTTTAATCTCTCCATCCGTTCAACCAAGTCCATATTTTCCTGTTAAAGGTAGAATTTGTAAGTTAAAAAAAAAACACTGAAGATGCCGTCTACACTATTTCGACAAGTACAGATTTCTTCGGTCTTCCTCAATCATTAAAAGTCACAAAAAAAAAAGAAACGGATTTTATGAGATCCTAATTAGTAGCATCTCAGTATTGCATGTTCATTAGATTTCATAAGCCATTTAATTTGGAGTTTATTGCACAAGGATAAATCCAGAGAACAAATTGATGAGACTTCAAAGAAAGAAACATATATCCAATGGAAGAAAACAAAAAACCACATGGGAATTTAGCATCAAGGAGTTCGAAGCTGAAGATTCACCTTTTGCAGCATTACTAGTTGTTGGTTAGTACTAGCAGCATCCTCCACCTTCTGCTTAATCTGTCATAAGACACAAGATAAATGTACATTCAGTTTTCAAATACAGGCCCATATTTCAACAAAGAGAGCAAATTAAAAAAAAAAAAAAAAAAAAAAAAAAAAAAAGGCATTGACTAGTTGTTTGGTTAGTAACTAGCAGCATCCGTCCACCTTATGCTTAATCTGTCATAAGAACAGCAAGATAAATGTACATTCAGTTTTCAAATACAGGCCCGCATATTTCAACAAAGAGAGGCAAATTAAAAAAAAAAAAAAAAAAGAAAAAGAAAAAGAAAAATCAATGCTCTAGCAATAATAAAACAAGCTATATAGTTTTTAACTACTCGAATAAAGACTAGCTTATAGATCTTCTAAAAAAAAAAAAAAAAAAGAAAAAGAAAAAGAAAAATCAATGCTCTACATAATAAAACAAGCTATATAGTTTATAACTACTCGAATAAAGACTAGCTTATAGAATCTCGTAGTCATCATCCACACAATAGTTAAAACGGCACATTACACTGAACAAGGCAATGCAACCACCTGTTTGCAAGCAAACGTTTTGGCTATATTCTAAGGTGCTCAAATTTTCAGGAAAAATTACTCGGGGATAGGAACTTTTCCCCACGACTATTTAGTTTATATTCCTGAGAGCTACCAGAGAAATTTTGCACAGAAATTAATCTAGCTAAATGCTAGGATAGTTCCTGAAAGAACGTCCATTTAAACCTGCATGAACAGCTCTTACACAGAAGATCCTCCAAGAGAGGTTAAAGCAATGTGCATGAACAAATCTTATACAATAGATTACATGGAAGCAATGTTACTAAAGTATCTAATCAAAATATGATCTCATGGGAGCTATTATGCATATAAAATTTTAAAGTTCTTGGGTAACCCTCCACAGAAGTTATTATGCAAACTTTCATTTGAATGGGCACTGGTCTAAGCCTCTTTGTACAACCTCATCAACCTTGAATCAGACATGGTAACCCAGAAAGCATAAAATAACTGGATCAAAGCATTCTCAATGCACAAGACTTGATGTTTTCTGAGGATATTGGGAGAGTCACCTATCTACAGATCCTTCCACCAGCTGTTTTTCAGAGACATTTTTTCCACAAATTGAAACTGTGAACTTCCAATTACTGAGAAGTAATCATACAGTTGCACCCAGCTCACCCTCATAAAGCACTATCTCCTTTGAGATTACTTAACCTCATGGGGTAGATGTCTCAAACCACAAAAATAAGAAGCAAATTCTAGATAATCTAAAGACTATATAAAGTATCAATTTCTTTCTAGAAATGCATATAAACAAGAAATGAGCAAGAAAGAGATTTGTAGGGCCAGTTGAGAAAGTAGTATTTTAGTTTTATTTCATGGGAGGAACAGTCTATATGCAACTTTGATCCATTGACTTCTGTAGTCGAGCAAGACCATACATATATGACAGCACAGATCTGTCATAGGCATCAAACAAGCATAACAATTGGACACAAGCAATGCTGAAAGTGAACTTGCCATATAAATAGTGAAAAAGATTAGGTGAAGCAACAGCTGAACAAAATAAATTCCCAATTATTCAATAGCCAAGTCATTCAGATTAAAAAAAAGAAAAATAGAAAAAAAGGCTGGTTGACAGCATGAACACCTCTATCAGTTCCTTATCACACTTAGCACCCCTCTCTGCTTCCTCATCATATTTCATTCTCCACTCAGCAGATTCATCCATTGCTTCCCTGTTGGCAAGATCGAATTGTCTTCTACAAAATTTCATTATGAAAAAACATCATTTGGTTAAAAGGTGAGAAAAAGAAACGATAGAAAAAATAGCATCTTATTCATTAACGTGAATGACACGAAGTGTAAATATCAGAGCAATTAATGTCGTAAAACAAATCTAACGTAGCACACAAACATAGAAACCAAAAGCCTTTGATCCCTTATGGAGAAAGGATTAGAATTTTAGCTGCTCCCGTCAAGAACTCTGAATTTTAGGAACATAGATCAAATTGGAAGAAATCGGACTCTCACTAAAGATTAATCAAAGAAAAGGAATAAATAAACTTAACCAATATTGCAAATAATCTGATAATAGATCCACAATTTAGATCTAGTCTTAGATGCTTCTCCATTCAACTGATCAAGATATCCTTAAGTCAATTTAACGCAAGGAACCTCCCATTTGTTATAAAGACTATTGTAATACAATTTACAGTTACACTAAAAGTGACATAGATTAATAATCAACCTCCTCTGCATAATAGTATTTCACTGAACTCTGATTAAAAAGAACGGAATTAAAAAAATCCTTTCAGCTTGCAAAGTACCATTCTTAAGGGTAGCAACTATCCCACTCCCAATCATAATATTAACCAACAATACTATAAGAAAAGGCATACATGGAGAAAATTCACATGAACCTTGATAAAATTATGACCTTTTTATAAGGTGAATTTCACATTTAGCAAAAAGGGAAAAAACCCATCACGCAATTACATAAAATAAAAACTTTCTGGTGATCAATGGCATGAATTGATAAGATAAGCTCTTTAAGCAATGTAATACAAACTAAAAAGATTTAACAATAAGAAAGTGAAAGCATAAAGAGAAAACCTTAATAATTCAGTGTCATCAGAGGAAATAGCATAATCAATGGACCAGAGCCTTAAGTAAACTGCAATTCCAAGAAACATTGCAACCACTAGCCCCACCAATATCTTCTTCCTCTCTCCACCTCCCATTCTCATCTTAAATTTACTAAAGATTGGTTTTTCCTTTCTGGGTTTAGCTTCTCTTTCGATTTTAGTGATGTTTCTTGTTCTTTGCTTGCAGGGTGCGAACAAAGATATCAGTGAGGATGATTGGCTGCTCTTCCGTTAAGTTGCAGTGCAATCCAATTGGCGACTAATTTGTTGATTGTCGACCAGATATGTGGTCACGAGCTAATGTACAACGATTGCATTTGCATTGCATAACACTTGATCCTTACCGCCACCACTCAAAAAAATAATTGTTTCTATAGAGACATTATTAGGAAAAAAAGATGCATTACAAATTAACAATGGAGTGTAGTGATCTTTTTTTCTTAATTTTATTTCCCTTTTTAATTAAAACATATTGAATATATACATATATTTATAAAAAATCAATATTGTGCAATTACAAAACATACAAATTAATAAACATTTGAGATAAAATTAAATACATAATATCTTAAACTTATAAACTTCTTATGTAAAAACAAAAAAAAAAAAAAAAAATCAAGTTTCACGAACTTATAACTTCTTATGTAAAAAACCAAAAAAAAAAAAAAAATAAGTTTCACGTGAAAAAAACCATCAAGTTTGTGATTTAAATTATTTTTTAAACATGAAAAAAAAAAAAAAAAAAAAAATCAAGTTTCACGTGAAAAAAACAATCAAGTTTGTGATTTAAATATTTTTAACATGCATAAAATTAACCTTTGAAAAAAAAAAAAAACATGCTTAAATTATTAACAATGGGCTTAATAGTGTGATAGAGGTACAATCTTGTGGACCACCCTGATTGGACTTCAAATCAATCCATACCATCCAGATGTAAGCCCACGTCTTCATTCTATTAGGTAAGAGATGAAAGATTTATGCAATGAGAAAAATAATTGTAATATTACATTACATTCCGTTACGACTCACCGAACATAATCTAATATTAATACATACATTATCATATTATGAGTTTCAAACATAGTATAGTATTAACATTTACCTTAATTAAACCATGTAATTCAAATTCTTTACATTTATAATTCCAAAGCCTCAACGGATAACAACGAAAGTAAAAAACAAACAACAAAATAATTAAAGTACTTACAGCAAAATGTGACCATTAATTATAAAAAGTCACATTTAAATGGTGACCAAAAACTAAAAGACACACAGCCAAATTCCATTTACTCTTTTTTATCTTTTTCTTCTTTAGGCAGAAACCCATTTCACATCTTTGAATTTTAGCATGAAACAATGTAAAATAACGTGAGAAAATGTATGTACATATGTATTTATTATGTAGTGGTCCAAAACAGGTGAATTGTATTATGTTCTTTACGCAACCTAATTACATTATTTTGACAAATGTCAAAAAAAAAAAAAAAAAAACATTATTTTGACAACTACGTGCGGGAACCAATACAGAAATCAAGCAGCTACCGCTCCTTGTTTCTTCATATTTTATTAATTATGACCACTTCAATTTAATATCTTTACTATCTAATTCCCTAATACAATTATCTTTTGTTTATGTAATTTTTTTATAGCTAATTGGTTTTTTAAGTACATGAAATTAATAGCTTATTTGTTTTCTTCTTTTAATTAATTAAGTTTCCAACTAAAAATTTTAACTCATAATTTTTATAATTTTGGATATGACTCTGAGATATTACATTCGGTTTATTCGGCAAAATTAACTATTTTGGTAGCTATTAGTTGTTTTAGTAGTGTTTTGTTGATAGTTGTTTGAATAGTTTTTTATAAAATGCTAAAAGCTAAACGTTACATGAGTTAATTTTTTTATAAAACGCTACCTTAATCTCTAGAAGCTGATTTAAACACTATGTTACTGAACATTATGAAAACTAGCGTTTAGTGTTTTAAATGCTAAAAACTCCTGAAAAAACTATTGCCGAACACGACCACAGTAGAGGTCACCTACTATGACCGTGTTCGGCAACAACTGTTTAAGTAGCAAAAACGCTAAAAATTATTTTTCATAATGTTCATTAACATAACTTTAAATTAATTTGTGGAGGTTAAAATAACATTTTATAAAAAGTTAATCCATATAACGTTTAATTTTTAACGTTCTATGAAAAATCAATCAAACAGCTAACAACTATTAAAACAGTTAATTTTACCAAACAAACTCTACATATGTCTCTTACATTTAATAATAATAATAATAATAATAACATTAATCAAGTTCAGTAAAATAACCTAAATTTCTTCTCATATTTTCTTTTAAAATTGTTTTTTTCATACTCTTCTTTGTTTTGCCAATTTTATGCATCCATTAAAGATTTTCCACTAATAAAATTTATAAATATATTAAAAATATGTATCATTTTATCTTAAATTCAAATGTAAATTTACTATTAAAAGATTTATGGTGAATTAAGAAAAAAAAAATTGTTCTGTGTTTGTTAATCAAATTTAAGTTTTAGATTCATAACTATGTATATTATTTTATAGTGTTCAGTAATAGCATTTGAACTAATGTTAGAGATTAAGATAGTATTTTATAAAAAGTTAACCGATACTCTCTGATGTTCAATAACAACTAAACGCTATTAAATCAGTTAATTTTTTCGAAAAGTGTTGCTTTAATTGAATCCATACGTATAAATATAAATTCTTACTGCAGTGGTATGTGCATTGACTTACAATTTGTTTAGCAATCATCAAACACTATCATATCCATCACTCACACATGCATGAGCCCACATGAAATCAATCAACCAAACATTAACATCAATTTTTCGGGATAAAAAAACAAAATTATATTAATTCTTTAATGATTTTAAATTTTAATGTCACCATCTTCTAGGATATATCACCATCTTAAATATAATTAATTCTAATTAATGTATATATATAACTATTAATTGTTACTTGTCCATAATTTCAAAGGATAAAAAACAAAAATATATTAGAATAAAGAAATTCAGATAAGAAAAAAGAGATGATGATAGATTATTCCAATTCAAGATCAACAGTGAATTGAATTTTTTACTTGAAGGATTGTTCTAGCTAGCTACTCTGTAGCTTTCTTGCCAACCACACACCCACCAACAAGTCTTATTCACTTCTTCTGCAGTTTTTTCCATCCCACCTTTAAATTGTTAATTATCATAATAAAATGAAAATTAAAAATAAAAATTAGGAACAACTACAATAAAATTATCTGAATATATCTAAAAATTACAACACAAAAGTCATCATCTTTGATCATCCTCTGATTATACATTCTTCAAAATACCAATAACCAGAGAGGATTAATTAATTAAGTAACCCTAATTTAAACAAGACAGATACAATTAAATACAAAAACCATTAAACAATATTACCCTAATGGAGAAAATTAATGCATAATCATCATCATCATTCTCCTCTTCCTCCTCAATTCTATGCAGAACATAATTATAACTATCCTTCTCTCTATAAAATATTTCTATTCTCAATTAATTATTAATCTTCAAAACCAACTTTCTTCCAAATTGCATTTCTCACCTGCCTTAAGTCTCTTCCTTTCAATGTCCTCCCTATACCTTCATGAACAGAAAATGAAGCTCCTCTTTTTCTTGCTAAATATTCATGAGGAGGAACTCTTCCATCGCGATCATCGTCATCACGATCATCACCATAATGATCACTTTCTTGATCTAGATCATCTTGATCTTTATTATGCCTTGTGTATTGATCTTCCTTATAAATCTTGGACCAATCTGGTATGTTCACAGGCACTGAGGAGGAGCAAGACACCGGAAGCCGGCCCAAACTATTTCTGCCGCCACCTTTCTTGGATTGACGTGAAGTGGGCAGTATTTTCTTGGATTCAAACTGAGAAACTGAACTTGAATTATTACTCCAAATATCAGACTCATCAAATTCAAAAAGATTGTGATCAGAACTTATCACTTGATTAATATCAGTCTCTGGGTTTACAAAAATGTAGTTATTGACAGTTCTTTTTGCTTGGAAAATTTTCTTTGATGCCATTGATGAGAAGGGAAAGAAAGAAGGAAGAAAAGGTTTGGAAACTGGTTTTGAAATGGGGTTTTTTTGAAGTTGTATTAGAAGAAAAATGGAGAGAGAGAGAGAGAGAGAGAGAGAGAGAGAGAGAGAAAAGTAGATAAGTAATAGCTATTTGTCAATACTGCCTATTGCATTTGCATTTTTATAGTAGTGTAATGGATAAGCTCTGTCTTAGTACAAGATAACAAGTTTTGATAAAAATATTATAATATCCCTGGTAAGCAATTATAAAATGCAAGCAACCTGATGGTTTTAGCATGTACTGTCACTTTCAGTTCCCTTGATCTTCTTAAAGTTCTTTTATTGCATCAATAATAATTAAATTATGTTTACAAAAACTGGGTTAATATACTAATATTAATATTAATAGTACATTTTTTTATTGGAATAATATATAGATGAAAATGCAAGGAGCGGAAGATTTCAAATTTAAAATTAAATAATATTATTAAATAATTATTTGTTTATAAATTATTATCTATCTTCAAAATTTTCAAATCCAACCAACTATTAAATGCATAGGAGTCGAAATTTACTAAATTACCTGAATCGCGTCTGAATGACACGTAGTATAATTAAAGAATGGAGAAGAAGTGACACGTAGGACTACTATTTATCTTAATCTTATGTATACTGGCTTAGATAGAAAGGAATTATCCAATCAGGTAGTTCAGATTGAAACGTGGACCAATCAGAGTTTATTAAAGACTCTTTGATATTTATGGGCGAAGCTCTATTCTCTACCTAATCTTAAGTCTAGAGTTGTGGGCTCCATACCCAATTAAAAGATACGATTGTCCATATCCTGACACGTCATCTACGGCACTTTTCCCCTCTTTGTAATTTTTAAAAATATTCTCAATCTAATTTTTCACATCACACATGAACTAATTAATAATAAATTAATTATCTTAAAGAAATGACTATAATAGCATAAAATAATTATCACAACCTTTGATTTTCTTAGGTCTTATAAAAAAATATAAAGAATAAAAATTTCGAATTCAAATCTCTATTATAAAAATTATTATTAATTTAATAAATAATAATAAATTAATTATCTTAAAGAAATGACTATAATAGCATAAAATAATTATCACAACCTTTGATTTTCTTAGGTCTTATAAAAAAATATAAAGAATAAAAATTTCGAATTCAAATCTCTATTATAAAAATTATTATTAATTTAATAAATATTATTAAAATTATTTAATCTGTAACATTATTCCAGTTCGTTGAATTTGGTACGAAGTTTTAAAAAAAAAAATCATATTGCATAAGATACATTAAATAATTTAAAATTGAACATATAGAATCTTACAAAATAATTTATTAATCAATGTAATACATAATTATTGTCTAGTCTATAATTTAATTCATAGTATGGAGTGAATAATATACAAAAAAAATTTATTTTGGTATTTTTTTTTTATTGTTATTTGTGGGACGCATGGCATTATGAGAAAGCGACAAGTCCAACGAACTCTATTATTGAAGGGAAAAGAAAATTTAAAGCCATTAATTAAAATTATAAAATTATAGCCATTTTTTATTCACTCATTTTGATAGTTAAATATATAAGATGTTAAAGTTGATATGGAAAATAATTACGTGTGTGTCTCTAATCATGCAAGTTAATCAAACATGCATGTGAGATTTTCTGATTATAATCTTATTAATTATAAAACTTACCTAACTATGCAACTTGCTTTTTAATTTCATTTAAAAAAAGAAAATTAAGGGATTAAGACAATTACAACATCGAAGTCGTCAAACAATATATATAAATACACCATGAGGAACATATGTTTCGTTGTTAAGCATATTTTAATTACTTTTTATTTTTTATTTTTAAATTTTTAATGTGTTTTCACTTTATAATTGGTTCATGCAAAAAGCTTAATTAGCCTTTAAGCCGGTTTAGATAACAATGCTTAAATTAATACTTAGCCTAATTATGATGTTCTTGTTAAGCATATTTTAATTACTCTACCTTCTTTGTGCTTAATTAGTAATTAAAAGCAATCCTCAATACATATACTTCCTTGATTAGAAGACAAAATCATTTATTTATTTATTTTTATTTTTTGCTTTAGGTGACAAAATAACCCAGTTTTTCTAACCTTGTTAGGTATGTTGCTTCCATTATTGACTTGTACGTAGAGGTTGAAAATAAGACTCCGATGGATAAATTTCACAATATTTTATGAAATTTATTAGAAATTCAAAATTTTGTTTTTAGAAATTAAAAAAATAAAAAATTTAAATGCATCGCTTGAGCAAATTTTTTAAAAAATCTATCTATTTTTTGATGTGGCAATTAAATAAGTAATATGCGTTAGCATCGGAGATACTTTAATGTTTCTCTTTTCACACCTTTTTAAGGGATTATTACTCGATATTAATTTATATTTTAAGTATATAATAATAATAATAATAATGATAATAATAATAACAATAATAAAAAGAAATTATCATTTAGTTTGTGAAAAAAAAAATGATACGCCAAGTATTTAAATCATTTCTAATTTGTTATAAAAAAAAATTAATTTGGATTTTAATTAATATTAATTAAGAAGATAAACCCAATATCAAATCAAAACGTGCCAATACCCAAAAGGAGAAAAAGGCCGAGTTTGTTTGGCCCAATAGGCCCAAACCTCCTGATGCCTGAAGAAGGGAGTAAGGAACCATCCAAAAACCCCAGGATAGAATTGTCATTTTCTCACACATCTGCAAAACCCTAACGCGCTCTCCCTCTCTCTCGCTTTATATCTTAACAAACTCTTACTCTTCAATTTCGCTGCGCCTCCATAACCCACCTTCAATTTTTGTACCTCTCTTTGAAACCCTAAACACTCAGTCTCAAAAGCAACAACCATGCCGCCAAAGTTCGACCCAAGTCAGGTGGTGGACGTGTTCGTCAGGGTCACCGGAGGTGAGGTCGGAGCAGCATCTTCTCTCGCTCCTAAAATCGGTCCTCTCGGTCTATCTCCCAAAAAGATTGGTGAAGATATCGCCAAGGAAACAGCTAAAGACTGGAAGGGTTTACGTGTCACTGTTAAGCTTACTGTTCAGAACCGTCAGGCTAAGGTCACTGTGGTTCCTTCCGCCGCCGCTCTTGTAATCAAGGCATTGAAAGAGCCTGAGCGTGATAGAAAGAAGACAAAGAACATCAAGCATTCTGGAAACATTTCTCTTGATGATGTGATCGAAATTGCTAGGGTTATGAGGCCAAGATCGATGGCTAAGGACTTGAGCGGGACTGTTAAGGAGATTCTGGGAACTTGCGTATCTGTTGGTTGTACGGTTGACGGAAAGGACCCGAAGGATCTTCAACAGGAGATTACTGATGGTGAGGTAGAGGTTCCTCTTGATTAAAATAGAAGGAAGAAAAAAAAAAAGGATATTTGTGCTTCTTTTTAATGTTTATTATTCTCAGTTTTGGGTTGTTAAACGGTATTTAGTTTAATCTCCAAATCCTGGTTTTTTTTTGTTCAATGCCCTATCAAGTACTACCATGAATTATTATGAATGAGATGTAAGGTTTATTACTATTAGCATTTTGGATAATGCTTTCGATGAATGCTTCTTATTCTACAGTAGAATGAAGAATGCATTTCTTATGCAACAGTAGAATGAATGACCTTGATTAATTTTTCTTGTTTGATGTATTCCCTATCATTTCTAGAGTTAGAGAGTTTCAACATGAATTAACCTTAGTTGTTTTTTGATGCATTTTCCTGTTCAATCATAACTTTTTGCATAAGAGTTGTGTTTTTAGTTGTTCAATATATGCAATTTTAATGCACATTTTGTGAATACTTCAACATTTGGTTTGAGTATTAAATCCTAGTGAAAGCTTGAAGATCTTCTTTTAGGTTAACTTTTTTCCTTTTGGGTGTGAATTTTTAGTTTTATCATTTCCTTGCACAGTGCATTAGAAAGTATTACATTGCATTAGATTTGAAGTACTATCAATTGCTTACCTTTGCATTACTTGCAACTTAGATTGATATAATGTCGAACATATCTGAGGTGAGTGCCATATGGTAGACATTACTTATTTTGATTGCTGGTAATTATGCATTTTCTATCCCAATTGTGAACTTCGTTTGAATTGCAAAACCAATTGATTTAATTTAGTTCATTTTGTTTTGCTTGTTCAATTTTTATTTTGCTACATTTTTTCTTTTCATGTTTAGTTGTATTATTGAGACTGGAGAGATTTACATGACATTATAATATTTTTTGTTCATTTTAGAGTGAATTACTATTTTGTTCCTATAGTTTGGTGAAATTTACAGGTGAAGATATCTATTTGTTAGAAATTAATGAAATAGCCCTAATGTTTGGTTAGTCAATTAAAGAAGTCATAAAGTGCCTTTTATTTCAATTTTGTCCTTAAAAGAAAGAAACTGATTTTTTAGCTAATAATTTAATCTCTAAGCATATAAATGGCTTGTTATTTCTGGTAATTATTCGAATTAGGATTGGTGATATTTAGGACAAAAGGAAAAACACAAGATTTTATTTTATGCGATATGCAAATGAGAATTCGAAGTTTAGTAAGGGCAAAGTTGATATTTTCATTATAATTTAACGAAAATATTAGTAGGATCTTTTTAGTTTGTTTTGATTGATTTCTGAAAAATAGGAACTTGACTTGTAATTGACCCTTTATTTTATTGAAAGTCACGGACTTTTCACTCTGAGGAAGGAAAAGTCTTCTAACAAAATCAGTTGTAGCATTGAGGTTATATTTTCTGATATTAGTTACTGTGCCTGTTTGGTGTAATTCGAAACATTACTGTGGTATGATTGCTTGAATCCTTTGAACAAAGACCCGATTGATGTTGATTTTTATATATTACCCTTTACCATTTACAACTCGTAGCTCCTAGTAATGTTTGGGTATGCATCTGAGTCCTGATTGTGGTGTTGAATTAGAAGTTTATGTTTTGAGTCAAAAGTTTGGTAAGAATTTTTAGACAAGTTGGTAGGATAAGGTTTTCTTCTTCGGCATGAATTCTTATCAGCTTCTTCTATAATGACGAAGAAGCATACCTAGCCTTAGAATAAACTTAGTAATTTGGATGGATATCACAGAATGCTTTTACCCCACTTGTAGTTTAACTTGGTGCATATTGGTCTGCTTGTCAATTTTTTACTTTGTTCTGGAGGTGCATTTTGTTTTAATGCTTGTTTTATTAGGAAAATGTAATGATATTCTGTTTTCTAATTTTTTTTGATGCTGAGAAGAAAAGGAAAGATATTTCCTTTGAAAAAATCATGCATAGGTTTAGGTACAATCAATAAGAAGCGTTAATTATTGAAGGTGTCCTTTTATTTTGTAATCATAGAAGCAGGAAACTACTGTCAGTTTCTGGGGAGGCTTTAATGAGTCTTCTTACACGTTTTGCCTTTTGTTAGGGCACGTGTCTGGTGTTCCATAAATGCTGGAAGTTTTCCAATGTTCGATTATTACCATTCTCTTCAGCATTTGCCACCTGGACTAACACCTCACCATCAGTTTTCAGTTCCTGATATTTTTGGTATGCCTCTTCCCTTATAAAACCCTGGCAATTCTCATCCATTCCCACTAGGTTTCTACACTTGATTTTCAAGAAACATAGTAAAGTAAGTTTTACTCTGCAATGGCAAAGCAACTTGCAAGCTTGTATTCTTGGATTGAAGTAGCTCCAGCTCTTATTATTTACCCTCAGAAGCCCTCAAATTCTCCTAGTTTAGAGACTATCTTGGAAGAGGTGGGAATTGAGGAAGTTGAGGAAGATTTATAATCTTGTCATGAATTCAAATCTCTACTTGGGATTGCTTGCAAATTTAGATGACAGGTGTATCAATTCTTGCATGTAATAGTATAAATTTCGTAGATTAGTTTGTGTGTTTTTATGTTCATCTAGTGTTGGACAAGAACATGTAATAGTGTGTTTCTGTTTTTGAGTTTTCTTTCTTTAATGATAGTTGAATCTAAAAATGGATTTAAAACTTCTGTCTTCTGTGAACATATGAAGTCTTACACCACTTCAAATCTTAAATCTTGAAAATGTTCATCAACCTCAAGACATCGTTCAATTGTCCAAAATCATGATTTTGAAATGTTAGTAATTTTAGTTTGATTTGAAAAATATATAATAAAATTAGGAATTTTAGTCAGATTTATAGTTTTGAAATTAAAAACTCTCTAAATTAATCAAATCAACAACATCCACATTTAAATTAGTCCAATTAACTTTTTAATAAATATTAACATAATTTCTTACAATAAAAAATTTCATGAAAACCTAAACACGTATTAATAAGTCGATAAATATTTTATTTATTTTTTACTTTCCTTTTATAATAATGAATAATTTTTAAATTACCCTTAAACCATCATTATTGATTTGATTTGTCTAAAATCTAAATCCTTCAAACCAAATCAAACACACTGTGGCCACTATATGAAAAATCCTTTTTAGGTTTCTAGAATTCCAATCAGCTAAGGAAAGTGTGTGGTGAGTTCTCTTCCACGTCTAATAGATAGACAATTGCCACATGATTTCCTCATTGTCCACATATTTCCCACATGTATTTTGGCTTTTCCAATGGTGACCAAACTTTTTAGTTGTTCAATGCTGTACTAACTACGCTTTATAAAAGGGTAGATGTACTTCCAAACCCAACCATACTCATCAGCAGAAACCACCATACCCATAAGTCCTAAATTAGCTCTCTCTGTTGAAGTTCTAACAAGAGAAGGACTCAAGTTTGTTGAAATGGCAAAACAGATTAAAGATTTGAGTTCTTGGATTGAAGTAGCTCCAGCCCTTTTCATTTCTTTGCACAAGATTTCAAATTCTCCAAGTTTGGAGACTATTACAGAGGAGACAGAAGATAGAAAAGATGATTCAAAATCCTAGTTCATATTTCTTGGATTTAATTTCATTTTTAATAGCTGTGAATTCTTCTGGTTTAAACCTATAAATGTATGGTTCCATGTATTGTGCATTTTGTCATGTCATCGACCATCGATTTTGTGAATCCACTGTAGTAAGTTCTCCTATGTTTAGTGCTGATTGAATGAAAGTTATGAAATTATGAGATTTATGAATACGTTTTAAATATGTGAATTCAACTCTTATAAAAATGAGAATATAAGTTCGATCGATGGAAACGTGCAACAATATTAAATCTTATGATTAATTGATATTTTTTCTTGTCTTTATTAACTGCTTTAGGTGTAATTATAACGGTGGCCAATTAGATAAAAATGATAACTTTTTAGAACAACCTGGGGTAGAGGTGCACTGAGCTGCACTTGATAGGAGTTTTGACCAAAAGTCAAAATAGCAGATAGAGAGATGATTCTTCTTCCATTCAAATTTCAAACTAGTTATTATTGCAAATTTGATTTAGTTCACTGCATCCTTTTGTTGCAAGCAAAGAAATTAAAGCTTCTTGGAAGCACCCCAACTGAAGTAATATTATATTAGAAATAAGACTAATTTCAAAATCAATGTATCAATTATCAAAATCAGAAATGAATCCTGAGCTTCGATAATTTGATCTGTGAAAAAATATTTATAAAGAAAAAACAATCGTGAATATCAAAATGAAACTAACTCTGTACACTCAAAAAGGATATAGGATGCTTGCTGAAAAATATTTAAGATATTATTAAAATTAGAATACTACAAAAAAAAACGTCATTTTGGTCACAAGCAACCGATGTTCAAAAATGCTGGTCGCCAAAATTTGGCGACCGATTTTTTCTCCGGTTGCAAAATTTTGTCCATAGGTCGCAAATTGCAACCGATTTAAGTCGGTAGCAAAAATTGATCGCAATTCGGCGCTTTTTTTTAGTGGAAGTATTAATTGATTACAACATTAAAATTCAAAACAAAAATTATTTTAAACACGAGATAAAGCAAATAAATTTAATATTGCAAATGGCTAGACAAGATAAAATACACAATAAAGCTTTTTTAATACAGATTTCTCCATTTATAAAGATTTAATTCTCAATTTTATTTATTAGAAAAAAAATATTTAACCACTCGTTTCAACCACGGTGAAAATATTATTTTACAGTTTTTGCTCTCTACTCTCTACCCTAGATGAAGCCATTCATTTTCACGTGATAAAATTAATAAAAAGAGGACAAAACCGACCAACTTCAATTATCAAGCCTTAAAAACACAAAACAAACACATTTTCCTAAAAGATCAACAATTTTCTGACACGTGGCTGTTTTCTATCCAGGAATTATTTTTTTACCATGTAATTCCTCTTCCTTTGGCTGTATATGGCAATTTTTGTAATTAATATTTAATTTATTTATTGGGTAGTGATTATTGAGTGATTAGGGATCGCCTGATTATAATCATAAAGAATTGGCATTTTGGATCTTAGCAATGATTGGTGGCTTCTGTGGGGACAGATAGACGTGGCATTATGGGAGTGGTTGGAAGAATGAACGGCGGGTGTATAGTTGGACTGAGTTGTATGGACGGTTGCTGGTGGAAAAAAATGGCTTATTATGATTGATCATTTTTATATTTTGTTTTTTGGTCGGTTCAGTCGCCCCATTACCCACCACGTCACTACCTCACTATAATCATGTGTAGTTATGGTCTACTGTACAGTGGTGGGACTTTTCACATCCGATGTCTGACACGTGTTATCACATCCGTTTTTTTTTTTAAATATAAATCATTTTTAGATATTGATTTTGAATTGTCCATGATTTTATTGTAATTTAAAAGATTAATTACTCTTTTAATTTTATATAAACTCTTGAACAATTATAATTTAAAGCAAAGAGAGCAATTTTAAAAAATGCAATTATGTCGTATACGATCAATTTTTATAAATTTTTAATTTCTTTTTTGTTTTATAATTGGTAATTTATGTAGAGCTCTAAAGAAATCAAATCGCTCGTATAACTGATTTAAATTGATACGAAAAATATTCATTCAATGTTAACGAGTTGAACTCAAACTTATTTATAAATACATTTATTAAACAAATCGAACTTGAGTTTTATATTTTAAACTCAAAAATCCTTTTCTTGAACTAAATTAGAGATTTAAAAGAATTCAACTCAACCTCAAATCTATATTGTGTATTTCAATTTATTGGAAGTTTATTAATTGAAATCAAATTATATAAAATAGAGTGATCCTCTCATTATGTAATTTTCATTAAATCTTATTAAGAATTAAAAAAGAAAAAGAAAAAGAAAAAGAAATCCAAAGAAGGAACTAGAGAAATGTAAGGTGGGGTCAAAGAAAATACAAGAAACCAATTGTTACGTTAGATGGGGCGGCAAAGCTAGCTTAATTTAACACAATCCTTTCTCAAACTCCCAAGAGTCAATATTCACATCTCTAATAAATACCCTTCCACTCCACTTCCATATCCACCATAGCAAAACCATTTCTTTAGCTTCCAGAGCTCTCTACCCTCCTCTAACATTTCCATTTCTTGATCAAAATGGGCAAGGATGTTGAAGGCGGCGACTTCCAAGCCAAGGACTACCATGACCCGCCACCGGCACCCTTGATCGACGCTGAGGAGTTTACTCAGTGGTCATTTTATAGAGCTATTATTGCTGAGTTTATAGCCACGCTCCTGTTCTTGTATATTACTGTGTTGACTGTGATTGGTTACAAGAGCCAGACTGATCCTTCCAAGAATAGTGATGCTTGTGGTGGTGTTGGCATTCTTGGTATTGCTTGGGCTTTTGGTGGGATGATCTTCATTCTTGTTTACTGCACTGCCGGTATCTCAGGTTAGTATTAAATGATTCAATTCTTGAAATAGATAGTTTCAATTTCTGTTTCTTTGATCACCTTGGGTATAACTTAAATGGTGAAAATTGTGCAGGTGGACACATAAACCCAGCTGTGACATTTGGGTTATTTTTAGCAAGGAAGGTGTCTCTAGTGCGAGCCATACTGTACATGGCAGCTCAATGCTTAGGAGCCATATGTGGATGTGGGCTCGTAAAGGCATTCCAAAAGGCTTATTATACTAGATATGGCGGTGGAGCCAATGAGCTTGCTGATGGGTACAGCAAAGGCACTGGATTGGGAGCTGAAATTATTGGCACCTTTGTTCTTGTCTACACTGTCTTCTCTGCTACTGATCCTAAGAGAAATGCCAGAGACTCTCATGTTCCTGTATGTGCTCTGTCTTGAAGCTAGATTTAAATTGAATTGAACAAAATTAGAATTCCAAACTAACTTTGTGTTCTTCTTTTTTGGGATTTGAAGGTTTTGGCTCCACTTCCAATTGGATTTGCTGTGTTCATGGTTCACTTGGCCACAATTCCAATAACAGGAACTGGGATTAACCCAGCAAGGAGTTTTGGAGCTGCTGTGATTTACAATAAGGACAAGGCATGGGATGACCAAGTATGTAGTTTTCTTCCTTTTTTTGTATCTAAATCAAGTTATTTATTACTAAACCAAATGAACTTATGTTTATTGTTAAATTTTCAGTGGATATTCTGGGTTGGACCGTTCATTGGAGCTGCAATTGCTGCAATTTACCACCAATACATCTTGAGAGCTGGTGCTGTTAAAGCTCTTGGGTCTTTCAGGAGCACATCCAACGTATAATTCAAGTGGAGGAAAAAGAGAAATCCTCTATCTGCAATCTTTGAATATGTAAATGATGTCTCAATTTGTGTGCTTATGCTTTAATTGGGCACTTGTTTTATTTTTGTGCTCAGACGTTGCTTCTTTTTCTTTTTCTTTTTTAATTTTCACTTTGTGGGTTTGTACTCATAATGATGTTGATAAATTATGAGCAATTACTTTGTGTCTTTTCATCCCATTCCATCCCATCTTATCTCAATATTAAAATGATTTCATAATCCCCGAGGATTTGTTCTCTGATAGTTGAAACAAACTAATTGCACTATCACTTAGAAAAAGACTTGATAATAATAAAACTAATTACACTATTAAATTCATAAACGATTAGCTTCCCAACACCATTAATGCAGGGTCATAAATCAGCCAGCCGAGTTGAGCTCAACAAAGATATAGTTTGAACTCGGTTTGTCCACGGTTTAAGTTAAAAAAAATATATCCTTTACAGGCGAAATCGACTTGTTTAATAAACAAGTTTGATAAACAAGTTCAAGTTCAGCCCTTTAAGCTTAATTGAATAAGTTTTAAATAAGCTTTTTTCGATTCTGAGCCTCGGGTAGTCCACGAGCACGTCGGCTCATTTACAGTCCTTCCCTAAGTAGATGCATGGAGAGAAATTTTCTTTCCTTTTCTAGAGAAACTGATGGATAAGTGTTAGATCTTTGATGAGTCAGACTCCAGTATAAAGAGAGGAAGAGCAGTGTCCTTTAGCAAGAGGATTTGGATTTGTCAATTCAGCTCGTTAGAGCCCAAAAGCCCACTCTCTAGTAGCTTAAATGCAATGCTACTATTCGCAAAAGACAATTGAAAAAACGACATCTCCCTATTTTTGCCTTCCCAGAAATTTCCTTCGAAAGGTAACTTACTACCGGTTTAAATTTGATTATCAGACTCTTGGGTTTCGAGCAAAGGTAAAATAAAGAAATACTGAATCTATGATCAGTGTTTCTCAATATGCTTAATCAATTTAGAATTTTTTTTTTTTGGTTGAAAAATTAGTGTGTCGTATGCAGGAAATCATGGAGGCCCATAGCAACCAAGGTGGAATTGAGCATTGCTGGTTGCTGAGCAAGAAACTCACCAGATTGTCAATGATGCCAGAAATGGTAAACTCATATGAACTCAACTTTGGTATAAAATTAAAATTTATTTATAATTCAACATTTTTAATTTTATGAAATTAATTATTCCTGGACCAGAAAATTTATCGAATTTAATCGAATAAATTTCAAGGATAAATCAATTGAATTCTGATGAAATAAATATTAATTGATTTGAATGATACTCAACTCATTTCTCTTATTTCTGCATTTAGCAAAACTGGCCGAGCTCAAACAAATCAAAGCTGAAGCTGATAACGAGATTGATGAATATCGAACTCACATGGAGAACGAGTTTCAAAGGGAAGTGAAAGCGGTAACATAGATTTATATTTTACATTAACGTACTCATAATACTTATACAAAAAAATGCATCTAATTACATTACATTTCATTTCGGCTCATCAAACATAATAAAAAAAAAATTATGTGATTTTATTTTATTTTACAATGGCCCTTGAAGAGTAATGGAGATTCAAATTGTAATGTGAAGTGGGTTGAACAAGGGACAGAGACAAAGATGAAGCAATTAAAGAAGTCAGAGACAACAAGAATATCTCATGATGTTGTCAAGATGCTCTTGAGCCAAGTTAAAACTGTGAAAAATATTCCTAAACAGTAAAATGATTGAAGAAATCTATTTACCTTTTCTTATCTTGGCAGTTTGTAGACAGACTTGTTCCATGTTTTTTATAAGGTCCTCTTCAATTCATGATTTGATTGTCTTTTGTTTTTTGTCAAGTGCGTGTGGTTTGATCGGTCTTTTTACTTATATAAGATGTGAAAAGTCTTGAGTTTAAATCCAGTCGACCATAAAAATTTCATTAATTTGATTCAAGAGAAAGACTATTCTCTATTGTGTAGTTCATAGTGTTATTTCGATGTTATTGTATTTTAATAATACAAAAGATTAGTAACGGTGATAACTTAATTAATTATCATTTTAGCAATAAAAAAAAAAAAAAAAGCAAAAGTTACAATTATATGTACATCTAGCTAGCAAACAAAATTTGAAGATAGGTTAGATAGCGACCATCGAACATTTCCAAAGTACATCGACAAGCCACATGCAAAAACAGTTTGCCCAAGTTGGTCCTAGTTCTTGCCCATTATTATTAAAATCTTTATATTTAACAATAGTAATAAATTAATTTTATTTTAGCAAGTGTTTATGAAGTGAATTTTATTTTATAAAATTAATTTAATAATAAAAAATAAATTCAGTTTAAAATTTTTTTACAGTTAACAAAAAAAAAAAAAAAAAATTGCTTACAGTTAACCAAAAAAAAAAAAAAAAGTGGCCAACTAAGATGCTTAAAAGATTTTGGAAAGCGGGCTCCATTAGACTTTGAGTATAAATCTACTGATTGAGATATGGAAACTATTTGGCGCTATTTTTTTGCGTTGACCCACTTTCCTGACTAGGACACCAATAGAGAACGATGTCGCATGTACAGGAATTAAGAACACTTTGCCCAAGTGTTGTTGACCATATGTCCATGACAGCTGACCAAGCAATTCACGTGATGAGACTTCGTGGCGGTTCAGAAAATTTTCTATGACATTTTACTTGCTCGTCTTCACTTTCTGGACATTGCACATTATTACCCGGCAAATTTAGGGGTAAAAATTTATATAATTAGAACTTGTGCTGGAGAAACCATGAATATGCTGTGGCATTTTTGCAAAACTTATTAAAGAAAACCCTTTTCTTTTCATAAAAAATAAAAAAAAGAAATACATCACATAATAATGGTCATTATTTTATAAATGTTTGAGCTTTTTTATTGTATTTATTCTTATTAATTAAGTGCTACTGAAAAAGTTAACATTTTTATTATTACAGCGAAAGATGAGTTCCTTCTCAATTTTTGTTTATTATTAAGATTAAATTATTATAATTAAAGTATAAATAAAATTTTTTATGAGAATGTTAGAAAATGTTCTGAAAAAAATGGCAAAAAATATATCTTTATCCAACCTAAAACTTCTTTAGAGATTGGTTTTCAGGTTTGGATTTGTATATTATATTTTCGCCGGAAAAAAAAAAAAAAAAAAATTGCAATAAGATGTAAAGATTTGGAAAGGGTCCCATTAGATTGTATAAATCTACCGATGAGATATGAATATTTGGCAATTTTTTGGCGTTGACACTTTCTGACTAGGACACAATAGAGAGGTGCATGTACAGGATTAAGAAATGCCAAGTGTTGTTGACCAATTGTCCAGACAGCTGACCAAGCAATCACGTGATGAGATCGGGCGGTTCAGAATTTCTAGGACATTTTACTTGCGTCTTCACTTTCTGACATTGAATTATTACCCGGAAATTAGGGGAAAATTTATATAATTAGAACTTGACTAGGAGAAAAAATGAATAGCTGATTCAACTATTAAAGAAAACCTTTTCTTTATAAAAATAAAAAAAAGAAATACATCACAAAATAATGGTAATTATTATAAATTTTGAAGCTTTTTATTGTATTTTTATTAATTAAGTGCTACTAAAAAGTTAAATTTTTATTATTAAGCGAGAGAGTTCCTTCTCAATTTTGTTTATTATTAAGATTAAATTATTATAATTAAAGTATAAATAAAAATTTTTATGAGAATGTAGAAAATGTTCTGAAAAAAATGGAAAAAATATATCTTTATCCAACCTAAACTTAGAGATTGTTTCAGGTTTGGATTTGTATATTATATTTCGCGGTAAAATTCTCCGTAGTACATTTTTCAAGTTCTAACGGTCCAGAAACTACAAACTGTAAAAATGGCGACACCCACGTTCTTGCTTCGTCACCTACATCATCATCAATTCATCATAATCGCAGCTCTAACTCTAGCTCTAGCAATAGCACCAACACCGGTGCCAAACTACTCCAGTCCATGACATCCCCAGGTCCAAACCCCCAACCCGCTTAAGCCATGCAACCTTTCTTCACTCTCTCTTCTCTTCTTCTTCTTCTTCTTTCCTTCATTTGCGCATCTGGGTTTGGATCCATGGGCCCCATTTCTGCAGCATTTGGGGATAACGGTTTCTTCTGCGCCATTGACGCCAGCGGTAAGCAGGACGTTATTTGTTGGACAAAGAACACTACTTTACCATCATCATCATCTCCGTCTTCATCTTCCCCTGCCTACTTTAATAGCATTCCGTCTATGGCGGCTCTATCTGGCGGCGAAGGATTTCTTTGCGGCATTTTAGCTAACAGTTCACAGCCATTCTGTTGGAGTTCAATTTACTCTGGTCTGGATCTTGTTCCTTCGATTTATAGAACAACTGCTTATTCGAATATTGCTGCAGGGAAGAATCATGTATGTGCTATTAGAGGATCTTACTATTCTGATCATGATGCAGGTACTATAGATTGTTGGGATATTGTGATGGGTGCTAATAATAGTTTAACTTCTACGCAAAGCAGAAAATTTTATGATCAGTCTATTGGGAATCTTGTTTTTAATAAAGTTGTATCTGGTGAAGGGTACAGTTGTGGTAGGGTTAGAGAAGGAGGAGTTGTTTGTTGGGGACCGAACTCGTCAAATTTAGGCATTTCAAGATTATCAGAGAATTATAGAGTTTTAGCTTCAGGTAGGGGTTCTCTATGTGGGATTTTGGAAGAGTCTAATGAGGTCAAATGCTGGGGCAATAGTAATGATTCGCTTTCAAGTCCTCCGTTTGGGACCCAGTTTGTCTCTTTAACTGCTGGTGCTAATCATTTTTGTGGAATCAGGCAAGATAATCATGCTGTTGAGTGTTGGGGGAGCTTTAATTTATCATCTGTTCCAAAAGGTGGTTCTGGGTTTACAGCAATTGCTTCTACTGATTTTACTACATGTGGAATTAGGGAAAATGATTTAGTTATTGATTGTTGGTTTGCCAATGGGACTTCACCTCTGGAGTTTAATCCTCCATTGGAATTGTGTAGTCCAGGACTATGTGGTCCTGGCTCTTGTAGTGAAGGAGAGTTTGTTTTCAATGCGAGCATTCTAAATGAACCTGATTTGACAAGCTTATGTGTTAGGAAGGATTTGCAGATTTGTTCCCCATGTGGATCAAATTGTTCTGAAGGATTTTTCCTGTCTAGTCCATGTAGTGGGAATGCTGATCGAGTATGCACAGATTGCTCTCTTTGTCAGAACAGTTCTTGTTGGGATGTTTGTGGGATGAAATCATCTGCACCGAAACAATGGCACCATTGGCGTAGATTAGTAATCATAATTGGATCTTCTGCATTGGGTTTCTTCTTGATATTACTCAGTTGCTGTGTTCTTCCACGCTTGATTGTCACCCAAAAAGAAGAAGGATCAAAGAAACAGTTTAAATCTTGCATAGGAAAACCTGAGTTGGAAATTGACAATGCTTCTGATTCATGCCAGCTTCCGTCCATGGCTTCTTGTCCTGGTATGGCCCAAGTGTTTCGACTCTCAGAGCTAAAAGATGCAACCAATGGATTCAAAGAGTTCAATGAGCTTGGCAGAGGAAGCTATGGCTTTGTTTATAAAGCTGTCCTGGCTGATGGAAGGCAAGTGGCGGTCAAGAGGGCTAATGCTGCTACAATAATCCACACTAACAGTAGGGATTTTGAAATGGAATTGGAAGTTTTATGCAACATTAGGCATTCTAATATTGTGAACTTGTTGGGCTACTGCTCAGAGATGGGAGAGAGGCTGCTTGTTTACGAGTATATGCCTCATGGAACACTTCATGACCACCTCCACAGTGGCCTTTCTCCTCTGAACTGGGGCCTTAGGTTGAAGATTTCAATGCAGGCTGCAAAAGGGCTCGAGTACCTTCACAAGGAAGCTGAGCCTCCAATAATTCACCGAAATGTCAAGACTTCAAACATTCTTTTGGATTCTGAATGGGGAGCAAGAATTGCAGATTTTGGGCTTCTCACTGCAAATGAGAAGGATCTTGGTGGAGACATGAAAACAGATGTTTATAATTTTGGGATTGTACTTCTTGAGATTCTTAGTGGAAGAAAAACATATGATAGAGATTGTACACCTCCAAGTATAGTTGATTGGGCAGTACCGTTAATTAAACAGGGGAAGGCAGCTGCCATAATCGACCGATATGTGGCTCTTCCAAGGAATTTTGAGCCCTTACTAAAACTTGCTGATATTGCAAAATTGGCTGTCAGGGAAAATCCCAGTGATCGTCCTACTATGTCAGATTTGGCAAATTGGTTGGAGCAAATTGTGAAGGATGGATTGATCTTGTAACCTCAGGCATTAAGTCAAGTCAAAATGCTAGAGGAGGTACACGTAAAAGCACCTTAAGTGAGCATACTATTTTGCAACTTTACATTTGTTTTAAGCTTTTTGTACATGATGTTGCTTCAAACCAACCTACCCCACCAACCCAACAACCCAAGAAAAAGAAAAGGAAAAACTTTCTTTGAATTTTGTGATTGTATCTTTTAAGATCAAGAAACATGAAGAAAACTCAAATTTTCTGCCATTCTATATTTGTTATTTTTCATTAAAGTTAATAGAATAAACTTCCCCACCTTGTTTTCTTGGAAAAGCACTATCTGCAATAGACGAATCAATGGGGTTGTCTAGCAAAATATCTTCTTATTTTTTTTCTCTTTTATGTGATTACTGAACAAAATGTATGTCAAAACTGTTCTGCAGTCTGTTTTCCAACCAGAAGATGCTCTAACGTGCAAAGCTACCATATATGCATATGTAAAGGCATTATTACACTACTTTCAGGACTCTTACTAGGCAGTATCATTCGACATAGACAAGTATGGTACTATTTGTGTTGAGTAGACAGAGTAGTGTACTTTGCAGATGCTGAATTACAGATTCCTTGCAGCTCCAAATGAGATTCATATTAGTTCATATTGTTTTCACTCGTATTTTCATTTGCATTTCAATTGTAGTTCAATTGTTGAGAGGAATACCTTATTCAGCGGCAATGAAGTTAATTAGCTTATGAGCTAATGCCTGTGGGTCCTAATACTAATATCTCAAGATCTTTCAGAAAACGTATTTCTTTTCTTTCTTTTCTTTATCTTTTTTACTTTTTTACAGGTTCATACATGTTCTAATTTGACGATATTTAAAAAACTGATCTTGTTTGGCAAAACAATATAAAATAATGTTTCTTTTTGGTTTTAGTCTGGCAAGAAGTGGAACAAATGGGAATCACTGAAATTGAGTTTTGGCCTCTTCCTTTAATGGCATTGGGTGAGACATTGGATGACTTGTGCAGGGGTCTATAGGTGACGTTCTTACTCTTTTTCCCTTAATGTACACAGCCATGAATATAAAGTATGGCCAAGACATGTTGATTGCTAATATATATATCCATTTATGATGAATTTGAAAAACCACAGGTGATACGTTTCATTTTAAAGATCTTTTAACCACATTCTCTGTTTGGTTATATTAGAGCTGAACTAGTTGTGCTGGGTCTGAAAACTTTCTTTTGTGTACTTCAGTTCTCTTTGAAGACTGACCCATCAAATTACAATCTTTTTTTTTTAACAGAAGCTTGTTTTCTCTTTGGGTTAATGAAACTTATTTTCTTTTTGCAGATTATGCTGATATGTTGAGTTCCAAATTATAAAATGGAAAAGTAAAGGAACCATTACTGTTAATATTATTATGGACAAAAGAAAGAGTTTTATAAGTCAAATGAGCATATAAGGAGAGCAGAGTTCAAACACACATGTGATGCCAACTCTTCTGATCAGAGTTCAGCTTCTCAAAGAAAAGAAAAAAGTTACCTCCAATTTTGTACTGCACTGAGCTAACCCAGAATCTTAAACCACTTGTGGTTGTCTATATGGCTTCTTTCAATTCTAAGCAATAAATCTGTTTCTATCTTCACAGTTTCACATTACAGACACGTTTTGAGTCTTGTTGTTTAGCATTTTCTGAAAAATGAGGAATGGAGACCTGTCAGCTTTCCTTTTTTTTTTTTTTTTTCCTTCTCAACTTGACACAGAATTATTGAAGAACCATTCTGCTCTTGTCAGATATTCCGTCCCATTAGTACTGCCATACTTTTCTCTCTATAGTCTATAACCCCACCCCCTTCTTTTTCTCCTATGCACTCTAATGGCAGAGTATTGCCTTGTTGAGCAAAATGTCTTTACAAATTGTGATTAGTTGTTAGTAATTAATGGTAATTCTCTTAATGAATTAGTAATTAGAATTCTAAAGTTTGAAACTTGAAGGTAAAATTTCCGGTGGGTAGCTTTCAACATTTCATGTAAGATTTAAAATGTCAAGTCGTAGGCAATGAAATAGTTAATTAGGTCAAAAGACTGTATGATAATAATCTTGGAGTTGGTGAAAACAAAATTCCTTGTTGGGGCTGGTCCACATGACGTAGTAGAAGTGTAAACTCAAGAAAATGAAGGTGCAAAGGATATGGAGAAGACGAGAATCCAAATTCATCCAAACACTTGAAGACAAAGCAGTTTCAGGAGAGGAAAAAAGACTTTGCTTTATGAACCTGAAAAGAGGAAAAGAAGACCTCAAAATACCATATGGGTAGGGCTCAAAAGTATTGCTAACCTCGTGTATGTCTCTCTATAATCTGTATCTCCCCCAATAAAGGCTTCTTTATTACTGTTTTTAAGGTCACATACACCTTCACGAAGTTTACAGACAAGGAAAAAAATAAACTTTCAGGTAGGACATGATTCCTTTTTAGCTGTTTTTGCTATGTGCCAAATTGCCAACTCAAAAGCTATTAGCTTTGGTGCAAAAAAAAATATTCACTTGGAAGCTAAAAACTGATTTTAGCAAGTAGGGTCCTATATATACTTTATATGTGTGTGTATGTGTTATATCTCCTACATTTACCTTCCCTCATGGATTGTCCTTAATTTTGCAACTTGAGTTTTGGTGTTTCCAAATTTACAGGCATTTTCAAGGCTTCTTTGTACTGCCAAATTGTGACCACATAGTGGCCAGCAACATCACTATCTATCCTTGTTCGAACTTCCAATGCTATATATTATTATTACTGCTATTATTATATACGCTATAGCTTCTGTTTTTGTTTGCTTCTTTCATTTGCTTTCCACTCTAAACATATGTAACTTGCTTCGTGCCTGGCTCCCTGTATGCCATCTGCAGAGCTCATCAAGCTTGGTGGTCTCCGGGGATGGCGTGCGAGGAGCCATGCATGCTACACGCCATTTAGTCATGGAAAGATTATATAATCGTCCATTTATTTATCTTTTCCACAGAAGCTGTACAGGAATACTGGAAAATGAGTCAAGCCCATATATTTAAATTCAACTTGCTTAATTTGACTAATCTTTAGCAGCCACTTGTTTTCTGCTACCAGGCTGGCCTTCAAACATTTCTTTTCTTCTTCTTTTTCCACTTTATGCAATTATTTTAAGTAACAATGTGCTAAATGTGCATATTGTTGTCCGTGTGAAGATCTAATATCGGTTTGACTGAATCGGTAAGGGAGAACACCCAAAGGATGGGTTTCATCTTTTTTTTTTTTTCTTTCTTGACCATTACCATTATTGACATTATCCTTCTGTGAAACTTCCTTGTGCTTTTTCTTTCTTCTGTTTGTGTTTTACAGGGAAATTTTCTTTTAGGCTTGGACAAGGAAGTTTCTGCAAGGTAAAAAAAAAAAAGGCATACAGTGAAGAAAAAGTTATTCTAATTAGCTAAATAGTTTCTGCAAAGAAAAAGGAAATATTGTTAAAGAAAGCTTCCTCTGTATATTCTTTATTGCCCTCTAATTAATGAACATAGAAACAATTACAGTAAATATTCAAGTCATCTCTACAATCAATTAAAAATATGAAGTACTATGTGAACTGGCTGTGCCCCTATCTGAAGAACTGCTTTTCTCACTCAATCTGATGTCCATCAAATTTGAAACAATTCCAGGTTGAGAAATTTCAACATCTCTGATGTCAATTTCATTATTCAGCATTTTAACAGCAGTTGAAATTTGTGGCCGGAGCTTGGCATTTTCTTGCACGCAAAGTAGGCCGACTATCAAGAACAGGAAAGCTTCCTCTTCAGGAAAGTTCATATTAAGTGTAGTGTCTACTACTTGTACAAGTTTGTTTTCCTTGTAAGCTTGCCAAGCCTGCAAAATTAACACATAAAAAAATAAATACTTCATTTGTACATGAAAGTTCAGTATGTTATTAACATTGCTACCTTTTGAACTATGAAATGTTCACCAAGTTCCGAATCAAAATCCACTGCCGGCCGCCCACTGATGATTTCGAATAGCAGTACTCCAAAACTGTAAACATCTGATTTTCTTGTCAAATGTCCGGTAATGGCATATTCTGGAGCAAGATATCCTCTTTTGCATTTCAGAGATTCCAAGAAAACCCATTAGCCATTGCATTTTTCATAAATAAAGAAACCAGAATTACAATCTGTCTGGCATTGTTGTTTGAGCTACTACAGAGAAAAGTAGTGTATTGATTTTTTTTTTCCCTAATAGAAAGTAAAATTTATGGAGAAAATGATTTCAACCTCAATGCCAAACAAATTCTTGATGAACATACTTACAATGTGCCTGCAACGCGAGTACTGACATGAGAAACCTTTTCTCTAAGTAATCTGGAAAGACCAAAGTCAGCCACTTTGGGCATGAAATTGTGGTCAAGAAGTATATTGCTTGCTTTGATATCTCTATGCACAATTTGTGGTTTAGCCTTCTCATGAAGATATGCAAGCCCATGTGCAACTCCTAAAGAAATATCTCTCCTTGCTTCCCAGCTAAATTTCATCCTGCTTGCCTCGTTGCCTATCAATCAAACACAAATTACAAATTATATAAATTGCTAAATCTTGCCTATTCTTATTGAATTCTCATTATAGAAGAACTTAATCAAGAATATATTGTTACCTAGTAAGGTCTGTGCTAGGCTGTTCTTTTCCATATAATCATAGACCAAATATCTTTTGGCTCCATCAACACAACATCCTTGGAGATTAACAAGATTTTCATGTTTGATATTAGATAGAGCAGCTAATTCTGATATGAATTCTCTCTCTCCACGCATAGATTCTGGTTCTACAGAAAGAACCTTAACAGCTACAAAAGAACCATCCCCTAGCCGGCCCTTCACAGTCAAAAAGTGAAAACCAGAATCTGGCATTAGCATTTCTATGAGAATAAATGATGACTCAGATTTACTAATCGTGCATTATTGCTTCGAGCATTCTAATTTCTTTAACACTAATATTCTTCAGCGACAAGCAGACATTTAACTAAAAGACCCTACCAAAGGTCAATACAAACTTGATGTGGAAGGCTATGATTTGAAATTACCTTGTAAACGGAGCCAAAGGCACCTTCTCCAATCTTGTTAGAGGACGAGAAGCCATGAGTGGCTATATCCAATTGCTGAAAAGAAAATATTTGCAGGTTTTCTGGGATCTGTTCACCTGGTTTAATTTCTTGAGTTATAGAAAGAATTCAACAAGAGAGCTGATCAAGAACAACATATTAATATAGAAATCAAAATAAACTATATATGGTAGGAAAAGAAAAGCCTAAGGACACCATATATGTGACAAGTTACGAACGTTATTTACCTGGTCTGTTAATATCAATGCTGGGTTTTGAATTAGAGGAAGAGAAACAACTTAAGCCACGACAAGGGAACTTCATGTTTATAGATATCCAAAACTAAATCTTTAAGATATTTTCTGAAATGGGTCCTAATCAAGAAGCATATATATAATGAGTGATAATGAAATTTTTTTTAGATGGACATTAGATCGAAGAGCAAAGGAAGAAGAACATAGAAACACGGTATGACAGTGCTTTCTGGGCTTGGACTTGTTCAATTTAAGGCTTTGGAGTACTTAAAAATTCATTTCTCGTTCGTACTGAAAGATTTTCCACAACTTGCCTTTATATACATATAAATAATTTTGGAACATGGTCAGCTTGCCAACATATTATTTTTTTATTTTCTGACGTCTGAAAATGGATATTGAAAATATCAACACTAAATAATCTAAATAAATAAATAAATTTCCTAGCTAAATAATTGAGTAAACAATATATTATTTTTCATCATGATTTCGCATGGTGTTGACGTTCAACTCAATTAGCACTATATTGTCAAATTTTGTTAATAATGACATTACTTCATTGTATTTTTATTTTTATCTGTATTTTATTTTCCATTAATCAAATTTGTAGATTAATCCAAACAGAGATTGTGGTGGTTGACATTATAAAAAAAAGAACCATTCATATCAATTTCCCGGTGAGACTTAGCTGGAAAAAATTAGTGGGAATCATTTTATTATTAGATAATAAACTGAAATTCAGGTTTTTTTTTTTTTTTGTATGTTAGAGTCAATTGAGGGGCTACAAGTAAAATTATCCAATATTTTTTTGATAATCTAAAACATCCAATTGAACAAAAATTTCCATGTTCATATTCAAGAGTCATGTTCTTCGATATGTCAACTCTGAGTCTGCTATTTTGAATCGATGAGTTTCTGGGTTTCTACCATAAATTGATTAAGATTAAGAGGAAGAAGAAGAAGAAGTTACTTGAACATTCAAAGGGTCAATCAACAACCAAGACCACGTATCCTTAACTCGTTTTACGTAAAATGTTCAACAGTTGAAGAGGTCATTAGTATTGTACGTGGAGCATTTCTTTCACTTTTCTTTATATGTTTCTATGTATATACTCATGTTTATATTAATTTGTATAGAATTGAACATGATTTATATCAATTGCTGTAAATCTTATTCTAATAAAATTGATTTATAAATTCGAATTAGAACTTTGGCTATTTTTTCTTACAATATCCTAACTTTTGCATCGACTTAATTATATAATCCTACTTTTTCACATTGTAGTAATAACTATATCTCTCGAACAATAAAGTTATGATTAAAGTAATAAGTGATTTTAATCATCGTAAAAGTGGCAATCTCTGAAAAGTATTTGTTGAACGGGTCGAAAATCTTTAAATTCTATGCTAGAAAAATAACTATATTATTCGCCAAAATGAAATAACTTTACATGGATTTAATGATCAATCCTTAAAATTTAAGGAGCCATAAAGATAATCGTTAAGAGTAAATTATCAAACGTATAGATCACAAACCACCAGAAAGAATTCGAACCCCATTATTAAGTACCGATTAAATCTAGCTCGAAATTTAATCACAGTTAAGGCATTTTCGCCCCTCCTTGCAAGTGTGTCTAGTGAGGATAAAATTTAAGAGCTCTTTCTATATGTCCAGTCTGTATTACCAACTGAGCCACAACCCGTAGGTGGTTTAATAATTCTTTTTGTACAGCACAATTTTAAGTGCAATCCAATCTTGTGAAAGTGGGCTAATATATCAAAACATTGAGTTAACAAAATAGATGGCCCATTGTTTGGACTTGGGCCGCATTATATACTATGAGAAATATAGGAGCAATGAAAATGTGGACAAGACAATCAAACCCACCCGACGGGTTCAGTCAAATTTAAAATTTGAGAATTTTAGAAATATGATATTGTTTTAGAACAAATCTAGGAGTAGAACTGACCTAAATGCCTGAAATGCCAATAGGCAGTAATTTTTAATGGAGAAGCTCTTTTGTGAGCACCTTCAGTGGACAACAGTAATGGAACCTGATGGTCTTGTCTTGGTGGCTGTCACTTCAACCTTTCCAATATCATTTTTAAAAATTCCCTCCTTCTTTAATTACTACTAGCCATTCCCGTCCTTTTCAGAGCAAATTATGTTTATTTCATTTTTATTAACTTCAATTAATTATATATATATGAGATTCTATTTGAGCTCGAAATAGAAAGTTACGGTTTATTTTCCTTTTCTCTCTTTTTTTTAGAATATTTTCCTTTTGTCTTTTGTAATTTTATGATAAATAAAAATTCTGAATTTTCTTTAAAAAGTTTTTATATAATTTATATTGTACATAAAAACAAATTGGTAATTATTAAAAAAAAAAATAAAAAGGAAAAAGGAAAGCAGCCAACTTTTGCAAATAGCATAATATCCTTGTTTCATGATGAATGGGTGTATTGGGTTGAGGTTTACGCAATCCCATTATACCAGTCACCCACCACCCACCCATCTCCATATTCCTCCATTCCCTTATCTTTCTTTTCTTTCTCTTCCGGCGAGGAATCCTTTCCCTTCGTTTTCTCTCTTCTATTACCATTATTCTACCTCCGGATCCACTTTGCTGGTTACAATTCGACAAAACTGGACTTTTCATTTCTGTTCTATCTTTTTTTAACCGAATTTTAAGCCACTTATGGGTAATATCGGTAGCAGCGGTGGCCATGGGCGCCGGAGGCATGGGAACCGGCGGAGCCATCCACCTCCTCCTCCACCAGCTGCACCACAGCCGGAAATTACAGCCAACCGTTATGTATTTGCTGCCGCCACTCCTTACCCTTCGCAATACCCGAATCCGAACCCGCCACCATATTACCAGTATCCTGGATACTATCATCCGCCGCCGGGGGCCATGCCTGTACCGTTGCCAGCTCCTTATGATCACCACCATCGTGTCGACCCTGCCCTCTGGGTTGGCGGCAGATATCCGTGTGGACCCATGGTGGCACCTCCTGCGCCTTATGTGGAGCACCAGAAGGCAGTTACAATAAGAAATGATGTTAATTTGAAGAAGGAAAGTTTGAGGCTTGAGCCCGATGAGGAAAATCCAGGAAAGTTTCTTGTTGCCTTCACGTTTGATGCTACTGTTGCTGGAAGGTAAAGGCTAAGCCTTTTATTGTCAATTGTTTTCTTTCTATTCCAATTTAAACTGATAGATATGTATTTGTTTTTTTCTTAAGAAAAGAAGTTGTCAATTCGTGTTTGTCATATTATATTTGCAGCCATGTTGGAAGGAATTCCTTGTTCTGTTATGAATATTTTAACTTTGAAAAGCTGACTGATATACTTCGAATGAGTACTTTGATTGCCTTATTTTCCATTAGAGGTTGCTCAAATTAATCAAATGAAGCTTCTATTATTGATTCTTTGCTTCTATGTGATAGTAGCGTAGTTACCCTATATTTGAAAGGTATCCTTCATTATAAACTTAGAAGATGGTAGTTTTGATTGAAGTGAATACTTTTCATAAATGTTCAATTATTGAAGTTATTCAGGAAGGGATCTATATTTAAGCCTGGAATTAGTATTAGCTAAGTTATATTAAATGCAATAAAAAAGGAGGATTTTCTGTTCAATCTCTGTTGCATCTCCGATTTTGATAGCTTGGAGAAATAAGTGGATTAGAAGCCTTAAGTAGAATAATTATTTTGGTGTCAATTTATGTGCATATGGAATTTTAGAGAGTTTTGTGCAGAAACATAAATAATAAGTTAATGAGGCTGGCTTTTAGTTTTTTGCAATGGATATTGTTGTAGATATTTTTACAGTAAGCTTTATAGTGGTGTATAAAGCTCCATGCTTCCTTATCTAGTGTGGCAATTTTTCATGTATATGATATAACCTTTGGTACTACTTTTGCCAAATTGTTGATAATCTTAGATTCTTAGAGAAGACATTTCTTATAGAAGTTGCTTCTTATATTTTAGGTTCTTAGAACTTGGTATTCTTTGTTGTTTCTCTTTTGTCTATCTTTTCATTTTTTTTTATTTGATGGTATTTCTAATTAAGTTTCCATTTATTCTTCTTCAAACAGCATCACTGTTATTTTCTTTGCAAAAGAAGGTGAGAATTGTGTGCTAACTCCAATGAAGGAAAACCTTCTTCCAGTAGTGACTGTAAATTTCCAAGAAGGTCTAGGCCAGAAGTTTAGACAGCCTTGTGGAACTGGAATTGATTTCACAATGTTTGAGGAGAAAGAATTATTGGAAGAGTGCGAGATGGATGTATTTCCTCTGGCAGTGAAAGCAGAGGCTTCTCCTGCTGAACAAAATGGACCAGAAGGAAACCAACAGTCTGCAACAACAAATTCTCAAATAACTCGAGCGGTATTTGAGAAGGAGAAAGGTGAGTACCAGCTGAGGGTATCAAAGCAGATCTTGTGGGTGAATGAGATGAGATATGAGTTGCAGGAGATATATGGGATTGGTAATTCTGTTGAGGGAGAAGTTGATGCAAATGACCCTGGAAAGGAATGTGTCATCTGCCTGTCCGAACCACGGGATACCACTGTTCTTCCATGCCGCCACATGGTATGTAAACTTATTTCATCTCTCTAGTCGAGTCAATAGATGAGGAAAGATATTATGCTGTGTTTTTTACCTGAAGTAATGTCATATTAAGGAACTGTTTTCCAATATAAGAGGGCTAATTTCTAGTGTATTTTTTTGCATCTTGAACCAAAGCATTCCCTATCATTTTGGTAATTCATACCATTATATGATATGACAACTACTGTAAATTATTTCCTTTAACAAGAAATTGCAGCGGTCATGATCCTGCTCTTGAATAAGATATGGAAGCATTTCAAGTGATAGTTTTTGTAATACTTCTGTCTATTAACCATTGAGAATTCACTGCATTGGTAGCATTGGTTCTTGGAACATAGGCATTCTCGGTGACGGGTTGGCACGAGGTTCCTTATTCGCCACTTTGCATGGGCATGAATTTGATGCGAGGGGTTGCAGAAACCTTGCCTGAATTTTATTTGATATCTTGTTTTGGCTAGCTGGCTATCGTATCTAACTGGCATGTTTAGAAAGCCATCCTTCATCTTGTCGGTGACAAACATGTTTGACTGGTTTTTCTTCTCTGGTGCAGTGTATGTGCAGCGGATGTGCAAAGGTTTTGAGGTACCAAACAAATCGGTGCCCAATTTGCAGACAACCAGTAGAGAGACTTTTAGAGATAAAGGTCAACAATGGGACTGATGAATGAGCAGAGAAATTGCTCCTGCTTTGCTGTATAGTAGTTTTTTTGTTTTTTTTTTTTTTTCATCTTAATTTTTTCTTTTTGGGGTTGCAATTTCTTCCTTTCTTCTAATTTTCTGTTTTCTAATAATCAAACAAGAAACTGTAATCACTCCGCTGTATGGCAAAGATAAATGCTGGTCATTGTGCCAAAAATATTTGAGCCAATGCCTTCAGCTTGCCCGTCTGGGTGCTTAATTACAGTTGCTATGAATCTTCGTTAATCTGAGATATAATATGCTTGCTTGCTTTGAATATCAATATTTATTTGCAGAGAAAGGATTCTAAAATTCACGAGAGGGACTTTTGAATATCAATATACCATTTTGTAATTTCCATTATATATCTATATTACTTAAAATTCAAATTCATAAATTGGTTGAGAGGAACCAAGACCTCTTCTTCTCAAGGAACTAGAGGTTGTCTGTTGACCACTTTGACCAATGAGATACCAGTGGCATAATTTTTTAATGAAAATAATAATTCTATTAAGAATAGCATAAGATTGGTTGGAACCAACAAGAAACAAGGTGACCTGTAACGCAATGGAAGTGTAATGAAGCTCACATCAATGCATTAATTAATAGCAGACTCTTCTAAGTAGAAAAGCCATTTTTATGTGGAAAGGAAACGGTAAAACAGCAACTATACAATATAATGTTTCTTTCTATAAAATCATTGGAAGATCAATAGACCGATAATATTACGGGCTATGTAGAAGATAACCTTTTCCTTGGCTCTTAGCTCACTAAATAGGTGAAACTATTGTGATTAATGAGATTACAATAGAAGATAAACTTTTTCTTGGCTCACTAAATTGGTGAAACTATTGTGATTAATAATATTTGAATTCGAAATCTTTCACTCAACTAATCAGATCATATCTGATTGCCTATATCTATTCAAATCATAATTTATATTGCTAACATGTGTAAAATCTAATACATCCAATATAAGATTTCATTGTCATACAAATAAATGGTATGCTCAATAGATAAAATTAAACATAGGAAAATTAACAATATTGGACCCACAAACAAGCCACTAGAACATGTGAAGTTCACATGATGAAATGAAATTAATAATTAAGCACTATAATTGAGATTCAAGTGCTCACATTCACATTCACTGAATTTCATCTAATAGTAGGCATTTCATCAAATCGCATTTAGTATTCCTATATTTCCTGCCGACAAAGTGGCCCTGAGCCTCAAAAACATTGAAAGAAAACATTTCAAAGATCGTAAGAGCAATTAACATATTAAGCAAACAACAAGTTTATTCAATAACAGAAACTTCAAGACAGTATGGTTGTTATTTAGATAAACTGACCAGGTGCCAACCATAAAGCAACCTTGGACGTCCCTCATTGTACTCTATATGAGTTACTTGAGGAACTTTAACGACAGGAACACAAACAACTACTCAAAAAAGCACAAACTTAGTTCAAACAAACAAGAAACAACTCGATTAATCCTCCCACCATTGGTGAACATACATGCCACTGCTTCTAAGGCTCTTTAAAAGATCCATGCATTCTTTCTTTACTCCACCGTTTTCATCTACATGGTCTCCACAGCTCAGGAATAGCTCGTCCACAAAGCATGCAACTCCACTTTCATACAAGTCAGTGAGGAATTTCAGTTCTGCCTCCCCTGCCTTCATTTTCAAAACCACAAAGTCTGCATGCTCCACTGTTTCTCTGAACCAAGCAAGGAAATCGAACCCCTCATCTTCCACTGATGGGTCTAGATCTTCAACATCCGAAATCGAAGCAGTAACCTTCTCTGCAGAGAGGCCTGGATAGTAAATGAAGGTAACGCCAGGCTTTTTAACACAAGAAAGCAGGACTGAAGTGTTATGATCGACAAAATAAATATTCAAATCCTTGTGCTCCACTGGATAAGATGGTATGAACCAATTAGCGACATTGGGGTTCAGTCGATTTGCTGCACCAATTTCAACATACACTAACTTCTTCTTCGAAGGCACATCAATGAAATTGGGCAAATAAGCCATCTTTTTCTCAAATCCTATCTCTTTCTTTTCCAGAAGAGGCTCCAGAAATTTCATTAAAGGTTTGTTGTTGGAAACAGATTGACAATCAGCTGGCAGGCGAAATTGCTCAAAGTAACCAACTTTATCAATTATTTTCTTGAAAACAACCAATGTATACTCTTGAACATAACCAACATGAACAACATTGGAGGATTTCAATAATGATGAAACGGGCGTGGCTGATCTAATCAAACCATTTGGGTTCAAGCCAGTAACACCCACAAGCATAGCCCCAATTCCACCGGGCTTCAAAACACGCTCAATCTCGAGCACAAGAACAGCAGGGACAGAAACCTCATCTAAGTCCCTAGAGAATACAAAATCAAAGGAATTGTCTGCATATTGAAGCTCATAAACAAACTTTCTGTGCTTAAGTGAGAAAAAGGGGCTCCTGTGAGCACCACAAGCATTGTCAAATCCTAACTCTCGCAAAGCGTACACGGCAGAAGCCGATCCATCGCCAACACAGAGAGCATTTGCACTATAATCCAACAATTGCTTACCCATTATCTCTCTAACAACATTAGTTGTCAAATTCATATCTTCCTTGCACTCAAATGAGTTCCAAATGGGTTTCAGAAACCGATTCCTAAACAAATTTGTCCCCGTAATCATAAACGGAGCATCACATTCATTGAAGTTCACTGAATCGAGGAATACTGGATCATTCCCTGAAAGGATTTGGACAAAAGGAATAACAGAAAGAACCACGGCAAGCATAAATGCACGCAGGAGCAAACGCCTGGCTATAGATCTACCAAGGATCTGAGTTCTAAAGGCCTTTAAATCCATGAGATTGAAATTGGCAACAAATATCAACGATTTGATCAAATCAGAGGATTTCAAGCAGTGGGTTTCGAATAAATTATCGAAAAAAACAAGAGTGTGTTCTGAAATTGAGAGATTAAAGCCAAACGGAAAAGAAATGGAAAACTAGCGAGTGCAAAACCTGGAGGAAGTGTGATTCCCACCCACGAGGACACCCATTGATTTTTGAACCCTTAACCAAACTCCCCTATGAACTCTTCTTGGATGTGGCTCAAACCAGGTCTGTTCCATCTTTGCTTTATCGAACCGCACCATGGATCCTTTCCAGATCTCTACATTATATACTATATTTACATTGTCTAATTTTCTCCTCTCAAGCTCTCAACTTTTTTTACTCTGCAACAAATATGATAACAAAGAACGAAGAAACAGAGAACAAAAACACTTAAAATTTACAAAAACGATAAAGAAAGATGACTGAAATGCGAGCTTGAGTGAAGAGAAGCTATGGAGGGGGATTTATATAAGAAGATGCAATAGTAGATCTAGGCAGTGTTAGTGATAGACTGATAGTACAGTCGGGACGTGCCGTGAGTCATGATTCACTTACGTGGCAGGATTAGGAAGCTTCTTCCAAAAAGAGAAAATTGATTAAGTGGGACATACACATGGTTCATCATCTAACATAAAAAATAAAAAAAAAGTGTTCACACATTTCATCACTCCGATTCAAAGAGTGAGTATCCGTTTGAATCAAATAGAATTGGTTCTGTTTAATCTGACCCAATAAATTTTATGGTTGAAATCGAATCAAATACTATAAAAATTGATTTGAATTTAATTCGATAATTTCAAATTAAATAATCTATTTTCAGTGTTAAAAATTTAATTCAGCTAATGCTTCTCAAGACAAAATTGAAATAAAAAATCATCTAATTGTTCGAGTTTAAATTAAATTGTAATTGATCTCTTAAAAATCTAATTAAATTCAATTGGAAAAATCGATTTAATTATTCAGTCCGGATAAAATATTGCTCACCGCTTAAATTAGCCGTTAAAAGTCAGGAAAAGGTTTTATAAATATGATTGATTGATTGAAGACAAACACAATAATGCAATGTATTAATTTTAATTAATCAACCAACTCGACTCGACTCGAGCTGGTTGGAAAAAGAACCTTCTAAAAAAGAAAAGATGGGACAGATTCCTTCCCTTTTTCATATAAAACAATATCTCAACACGTAAATTTTTTTTAATTTTGAGAATAAATTTGATTTTATTTAATATTTTACTGTAAGTATATTTTAAGAAAAAAATATATTTTATGGGTTGCTCCTTTTACAATGCAATAATTTTTTTGTAAAAATATTTTAAATTTTCTATTTAATATTAATTTTTAAAATAAAAACATGATTCTATTGTCATTTTTATAAGAGAAAAAGGACAAGAGAGATACATTATTATCTGAGTCTGACACAAGCGCGTGGGAATGGGCCCGCTTTTTCTAATTATTAGCTAATCGGGCCGCAAACACCGTTGAGATATTTAATGTGAAAACCACCAAAGAAAAACCGCGGTTTTCTTTCAGAAATGACACGTGTGGGTCCAATCTATAGCCGGTATTCTATATTTGGGCCTTACTCTCCAGGTTTTTTTATACTTTAGGCCTTTTCTTTTGAATGATGATTTTTCATCTTTGGGCCTTTTGTCTTATGATAAGTCGACAAGGCCAGGAAAAGTTATTTGGGCCTTGACTTTAGGGCGTTCTTAGGCAATTGCTTCAAAGCCTATTTGACAATGATAAATAGCCATTTGTACTTTCATTTTCCTATATTTTTCAATAATTCTTTTTGTAAACGTTTCTATTTTGGATATTATGTTTAAAATTTTATTATTTTAAACAAATGAATATTTTTTTTATAAAAAATAATGTTAATAACCTAGTCCATTCAATGTGGTTCACATGATATGACCCCCACGAACCCACCAACCTGCCCACGCAACCTCAATGGTTCCATTGCATATGTTTCTTTCACATAAAAAAGGTAGATATATATGTTACAAAATTGTCGCACGATGTCATGGGCTGAGTACTGTAACGTCATAATCCTATACGAAGGGCCCAGACTCTTTTACTAGTGCTATGAATTGATACATTCTATTTTGTAGAGATGGCCATATTACGGGTTTCCGTAACCGGAACCGTCGGTTCGAACTGGTCCTGAACCATAATTGAAGCCGGTGAAAATTAGAATCGGATTGAACCGAAACCGAAATCGAAAATTTTCGATTCGGTTCTGGTTCTAGATTTCTGGAACCAAAACCGACGGTTCCAGAAAACCAGCCGGAACCGGATTGGAACCGCTGGTTCCCATCCGGTTAGAATCGGTGGTTCGAACCAGTTCGAACCGGTGGTTCTAGCCGTTATAAACTGTCAGATCAATTTTTTTTTTAATTTTGTTGTGAAATTTCTTAATTACCCCTCCCAACAGTCATAAACGGCTACATAACGACTAGTTTCAAAAGTATTTTTTTTATGTTCAAGTCTTTAAAAAAATAAATTTAATTGAAGTATTTTTTTTATTTTTTAGGTGTATTTTTTAATTTTTTATGCTCAAGTATTTTTTTTTTTAAACCGGTTCTCATTTCATTTGAAATTTAAAATCATACGATTCGCCGGAAAACCGATCGGAACCGTCGGTTTGGTCACCGTATCGGAACCGAAACTGGAACCAGAACCGTTTAGTTCCAAACCAGAACCGGAACCAGAACTTTTCGGTTCGGTTCCGGTTCCAGTTTTTTTGGAACCGGAACCGCCGGTTCCAAAACCGTGGCCACCCTTACTATATGGTGTCTTAAATCGGCACATCAATATATGACTGGTGGCTCGAGCTGACGGGAACCATAATTAACACATTTAGTAGTTTTTTTTTTTTTTTTTTTAATTTCCACTTTTCTATTTACTCGGATTCTAATTTATATTGTTCTCTTGGATACTTCCATTTCTCTAGGAGAGAGATGATTCAATAGGTAGGAGTGGAGGGATAACACTCTTATTATTTGTCAAATTTGTAAAGGTAGTCTTTTATAGTATTGAGGAGTAGAAAGATATGTTGGTTTGCCCCTATCCCTCAAGGAGATGGACACGTCAATGGGAGGTGATAGTTGGATTGAGTCCCCATCTCTTGTCAGATTGCAACCACATATGGTAGCAGGTGGGACACCAATGACTTCATTCTTATGGAAGAATGATGGGCTAATGAGTTTGGGTGAATTCTCATTATTTGTCAGGTTAACAATAGAAGATTTCTTACAAGTGGTATAAGAGTGATCGAGAATGTTCTTATGAGATGGTGAATATTTTACAGTTAAAAGCATAAATGAGGATGGATTTGAAGGATTCCTTTTTGCTTTTTGAGGAGGTTGGTGAACATGTCTTAAAAGTCTTTAAGAGTCAATTTGTCATTATTAATTGCAATGTCAACCATTGGACCTTTAAGAAGACAAAAAATGTTAGTGTTTAGGTTAAATTAAAACACATAGGTTAGTGTAAAACACGTGGTTAGGACCCAAGATGCCTTGGCATCCAAAGGTAAAGAGATGCCTTATGCTGTGAGGGTTAGGGTGAGAATTTGAAGAGAGAGGGCACCTAAGACACTAGGGCTTCAAATAATGTGGTGTTTCCTAAAGTCATCCAAAAGGTCAAGGTTTCAGGATTTCTATGGTCAATAGACTAATGAAAGGTTGTTTAAGATATATGATAAGTGCTACCCAAGATACAGGATATGGTTTATCCAAAAGTTGAGGGTTTGTTCAATGTTGGGGTTACCCTTAAAGCATCCAATAGGTGACAATCGATTTTGAATGGTGGTTACCTAATTGGTGCGGGTCTATTTACAGTAAAAAAATCATTACCCAAACTATGAGGACTGATTTTGAAAAGTGGTTATCCAATAGGTGCGATTCTATTTAACATATTGGTTGTCCTAAAGGTGTAAAGGCCTAAATGAGGTTGTCAAAAGGGTAAAGTGTAGTGTTTCCCTTTTCATTTTGGGACCTAACTAAAAGGGTAAGAATTTAAAAAGTTTAGGGTATAAGGACCCAAGGTATGGAGGCATTTAGATAAGGTTCACTGTTTGATTTAGGACATATATTACATAAAGTGGGAAGGTGATGTATTGTAGTAAGGTTCCCTAAAAGGTAGGGGTCACTTGGTATAGAAGAATGTGTTTTAGGTAACCAAAAAGCTTTTGGGGTTGCTTAAGAACTTTAAGACTTTGTGAAGTGATGATTGCCTAGACTCTAAGGCTTTGGATGTTTGAAAGGTCAATTTCCTTGTAAGGGATGCTTGAAAAGGGTCAAGTTGAAATACCTAGATACTAAGGTTTAGGATAAAAACATGTGCAGGGCTTAGGTAGCTAAGGCTTTTGAATTTGAAAGAGTAGGATATATCCATGTGTGGGATATACTCACATTTGAAGAGAAAAGGTACTTAGAAGTTTAGGGTCTAGGATAAGGATATGCTTAGGTTACTGGCCCCTGACTATGATAAAACCATTTAATGCAGTGCAAGAGTTGTTATCCTTGTTAGCTTAGTGGTGTTGGGGAGCCTATCTCAAGTTTACGGACCCGTTTTCGAGCGAAGGCCTTGTCGCTTCACACTTTATTTTGCTTATTTTTTTCAAGTTGCATTTTATAATAGGAAAAAGCCGAGCCCACTGACCTATAACAAATTCCTAATCCTAAACCGAAACGGACATGGCTCCACTATATAGGTCTCATGTAATATTAGCGTAAAGCCGGCTAACACCAAATAAACAGGCTTACTATGGGTGTTTCAATAATGTGCCTATATTAATAAGAATTTAAAGATTCTTTTATTGGATTCAAGTGAAGTCTTTTTAAAAATAATAAGACCAATTATAGATAATTTGTAAGTTATTGGTCGGTATAGTTTTTTTTGTAGGTGGGTTCATAACTTTCTTTTTATGTAATGTGTTTGTGTAATGTTCGCTCTTGAACAAGGTGAGTTCCATAAGTTGATTTTTAATTTATTCACATAAATCACTGGTATCTAGGCTATTAGTTCATGAATTTAAGAATCACAATTATATATGCAAAGATCATGAGCTTCACGGAGTTAATGCCCCGTCCGAGGGAGCTTTTGAAAAATTCCGAAAATAAGCAGTGGGGATAACACTTAGTTCGTGGTGTGGATCTTGGTCACCTGTCCTATCGGCACACCATTTGAAAGAGAAAAGGTAACTGGATTTATACTTAGGGTCTAAGGGGAATAACCAGAGGATACACTGCTTGTGTTAATTGACTGTTGGCACCATGAACTCAGATAGAAACTAACGGAACACATTCTAAGATAATGCTCAATGTGCCTAGATGATGCGGTTGTCAGTGCTTTCGCTCGGTTCTCAGGCTCTTTATGTGGTTGTTTTTTGGGAACCGAGCCTATCTCCAGTTTTACCCGGACGTTTTCGAAGCGAGGAAGCCTTGTCCGCCGT